ACAGGAAGGCTACTCAGTACTCTGTGATGGGCCCATATGGGAAAGGAACCTGAAAACGAATAGGTATACGTAAATGTATAACGGGAACACTTTGCTGCATGCCTGAAAATAGCACAGCGTTGTAAATCAATTGTGCTGTGCTGGGCTCAGTCGTGTCTGACTCTTTGAGGCTCCGTGGACTGCCAGACTCCTCTGTCTATGCGATTCTCCAGGCAAGAATACTGGAGTGGGTTGCCTTTCCCTTCTCCAGAGGATCTTCCTGACCCAGGGATTGAACCCAAATTGCAGGCAGGCTCTTTACCATCTGAGCCAGAACATTGAATGAGTAAACAATTCTGATTGCTCGTATGTGTACATTCAGTTTCATTTAGATGAGGTTGGTGATGACATAGACAATATAAGCTGTCTCTCTGGTTTTCAAATGATCGTGCAGATTGAGACAAGCTGGAGCCCAGTAGTGCAAAGTGCAGGTTTTGGAGTAAAGCTGTTCTGGGTCGGTGTTCTCACACCCTCCATGAGCCTCTGTTTGCTTTGCTGTAAGATCTGAGTCATGGAATCCCTCCCAGGCAGTACGGAGGAAACATGTATGTAAACACAATACCTGATGCAGTGTTTAACCTGGGGATTTTCTCTGTCTTCATCATAACATTAAGTAAAATATTAAAAGACAGGAAAACTCAACTCCTTTCAAAGTATTTTAGAGCCCAATAATTATTAATCAGTTAGTCCTTATAATTATAGAGCAGATTGTCACAATTCTGGAAATTCATTCAGTTATTAACCAGAAGTCCATCAAGGAGCACAGTTGACTGGAATTGCAAGAATGGGGTCTCGTTTTGCCTCCATAGGCTGGTTTTGTAACTGGCTGTTAAGTCATTGTCTGGAACTGTGAGGTACCTAGATTTGCAACTTCACAGGCTACTCCTTGAATACTTCTATGATTGTCACCCTACTCACCCCTGGGCTAAGTAGGATTTATTTATTACTCTAAAATAAACACTGTGTGTACAACTGTATTTATGATCTCTCTGATCAAACTTGGAATGTGAGAAAGCTTTATACTGGATAGCATGATCGTAATATTTTTTAATGAATGAAAACAGTTTCTTCAAGTTGTTCTGGAAGTTGCCTGCTAAATCAGCAAAGAAATATAAAGCCATACCCACCCACCCCCACCACAGCCCCCTCTTTTTTTTTTATATGAAATTTAATTCCAAAGAAAACAAAAGAAAATTCTTCCTAAAGAACAAACGCAGAGAATGCACCGTATTTAAACAGACAGCAGTTCCTTTTTCTTTCCCACTTTGCTGGGAGGGGACGAGTGAGGGTTTGAGGGTGGGCCGAAAGCAGCAATGACACGTGGGTGCATGCTAGGTCACTTCAGTCATGTCCGACTCTTTGTGACCCCATGGACTGCAGGCTCCTCTGTCCATGGGATTCTCCAGGCAAGAATACTGGAGTGGGCTGCTATTTCCTCCTCCAGGGGATCTTCCCGACCCAGGGATCAAAGTCCTGTCTCCTTTGTCTCCTGCTTTGGCAGGTGGTTTCTTTACCACTAGAGTCATCTGGGAACCCAGGGGAAAAATAAACCTCACTGCGCTGATGTTCCCTGGGACCACTGCGTAACCATTCCTCTCTTCCAGGCCTGGCTCTGGGGTGTTCTGTTTATTGTGCCAAAGCTGCATGAAAGTATGAAAATGTAACTTATGCTTTGCAAATATGTCTTTCAGTGGTTTGTTGGAAAACTAAGGGATTTCTTTATTTTTTAACCCACATGGTTAGACATAAAATGAACATACACAAATTCATCCCACTTGGAAATTAAAAACGAAAACATAAACACCTACAGAAGACTAATGAAAAACAGAGAGACTATATATAATACTAGAATATGTGTGCTAAGTGCGTGCTAAGTTGATTCAGTTGTGTCCAACTCTTTGTGACCTTATGGACTGTAGCCTGCCAGGCTCCTGTAGCCTGTCAGACCTGGGTTTGATCCCTGGGTTGGGAAGACCCCCTGGAGAAGGAAAAAGCTACCCACTCCAGTATTCTGGCCTGGAGAATTCCGTGAACTACAGTCCATGGGGTTGCAAAGAGTCAGACATGACTGAGTGACTTTCACTTTCACTTTGAACTGCAAGGAGATCAAATCAGCCCATCCTAAAGGCAGTCAACCCTGAATATTCATTGGAAGGACTGATGCTGAAGCTTGAAGCTCCAATACTTTGGCCACCTGATGTGATGAACCAACTCATTGGAAAGACCTTGATTCTGGGAAAGATTGAGGGCAAGAGGAGAAGGGGCCAACAGAGGATGAGATGGTTGGATGGCATCACCGACTCAATGGACATGAGTTTGAGCAAACTCTGGGAGATGGTGAAGGACAGGGAAGCACACTAGGCTTGGTGTGCCGCAGTCCATGGAAGCCAAATGAGTTGGACATGACTTAGCGACTGAACAACAACGACAATCAGCTATACTCCAATATAAAATAAAAAATAAAGTTAGGGAGTGAATAAAAGATGCAATGTTCCATTGCATCTCATCAATACTTTATTGTTATAAATACAAAACACTGCCATATTATTAACTGAATGGATGCTGGTAGATAAAAGCATATGAAACAGCACTTTGTATATTGAGAATACACTCTATCATTCCCCTAGAGCTATTATTAACCTTGAGGCTTCATGGAATCTGAAACTCATGAAATCACCCATCACTGCAAACCACGTGCTGATACCTATTTTCAATTACATAAGTTAAAAATGGCAGATTATGTGTTGATTGAAAAATGGTTATTCCTGTGTTATTTCACAGTGGCAGATGGAAATGCAGATAGAACACAAGGTGTGTCTTATTCCAGGTTTGCTTAAAATCACTCATGCTTTAGAAAATTAAAGCTGAAAAATGCTTAAAGCTGGATTGATGGAACAAAATTAATGACCTCCTTTCAAATATCTGTGCCTCACAGTTTATATTATCAAGTGAAAGTGTTAGTCGCAAAGTCATGTCCCACTCTTTGCAACCCCGTGGTCTGTGGCCTGCCAGGCTCCTCCATCCATGGGATGTCCTAGGCAGTCATCTGGAGTGGGTAACCATTCCCTTCCCTAGGGGATCTTCCTGACCCAGGGATCGAGCCTGGGTCTCCTCCAGCATTGCAGGCAGATTGTTTACTGTCTGAGCCACCAAGGAAAGACTTAAAGATGTGCAAAGAGATGAAATAGCAATCAAATTTGTGTCAGGGAGCATCCCTTAACATAGTCACCCCTTCCCCAAGTCCAGTGACCCCATGAATTCTTCATGCCCTGTGGTAGCAGCCATCTGCCAACCAAGCGAGTAACTTGGGGATCTCTTTGACCCCACATCCTCACCTCTTCCTCCCCCTGGCCTATTTTAGTATCCATATCACATAATTTTAAACATATTAGCTGAGAGTTTATCTTGGTAGCAGTAAGTTCACCACCATTCTCTTTTGTCTAAATTTTTCTGGTTATATTTACTCTTCCAGGTTAATTTTGAACATTTTCTTGACTTCTAAATATTCAAGTTCTGTTTAAAATCCTTTGGAAATGTGATTAGAATTGTATTGCATATACACTGAGATAAAATTGTCATCATGATGGTGTTATGTAATCCTATCTAAGAATTGTGTCCTTTTTTTTTCATTTATTTTTATTAGTTGGAGGCTAATTACTTTACAATATTGTAGTGGGTTTTGTCATGTATTGACATGAATCAGCCATGGATTTACATGTATTCCCCATCCCGATCCCCGCTCCCACCTCCCTCTCTACCCAATCCCTCTGAGTCTTCCCAGTGCACCAGGCCCGAGCACTTGTCTCATGCATCCAACCTGGGCTGGTGATCTGTTTCACTATAGATAATATACATGTTTCGATCCTGTTCTCTCGAAACATCCCACCCTCGGCTTCTCCCACAGAGTCCAAAAGTCTGTTCTGTACATCTGTGTCTCTTTTTCTGTTTCGCATATAGGGTTATCATTACCATCTTTCTAAATTCCATATATATGTGTTAGTATGCTGTAATGTTCTTTGTCTTTTTAAAACTCAAATATTTTCAGCATCCTTTAATTACATTTATAGTTCTCTCTGTAACGGTTTTGTGCATTTCATAAGTAGGATTATGTATTTCATGCATATGCAGAGAGAGTATATAATTATATATATATATTTAGTATTTATGTAGTATTATGTATATAATGGGCTTCCCAGGTGGCTCAGTGGTAAAGAATCTACCTGCCAATGCAGGAGATGCAGGTTTGATCCCTGGGTCAGGAGGGTCCCCTGGAGGAGGACAGGGCAGCCCACTCCAGTATCACTGCCTGGAGAATCCCCATGGGCAGAGGAGCCTGGCGGGCTACAGTCCGTGGGGTCGGGTACTAGTGAGCACAGCAGCACAACATCCTGTAAGGTTCAGATCCAGGGTTACCTTTCTACAGAGCCTTCCTTGACCTGCTCCCTATGTATCTCTCATTCTTCCTGTTTCTACTTTGTTAACTGTTTCATGCGTATCTTTCTCCTCACAAGACTATGACGTCCTCAAGCTGAGGTTCTTAACTATCCACCTCCGATTCCCAAGCCTCTGACATGGACACCTTAAACGCTCAATTCAGATTGTTTAACAGATTAATGAATGAATCATTGAAATGTTTTCTGTGAATAAGACAAGTAGATGATTCCTCTGAACTGGGTGAGCCTTTATTATTTCTTAGAAGGATTTTCTTTTTCTTAAAATTACAGAGTATCACATTTTCAATTTCTTACATCCTGTCCATTTTTTGTTTCTAGTAGCAGCTTTTGGGACATGGCCCTCTGAAAATATGCCAGCTTTTAAACAGGAAGAAAAAATTAACAAAATGTTACTTATGCTCCGTTAAGTCTTGGGGGCAGGGTATCTTTTGTTAGTTATCAAGTATTAGGAGGTTACAAATTATTCTTGAATTTTATAAGGTTTTCCTCCCCCCTTCTTTTGTGCAGGGAATAACTATCCGACCACTGGTGGAGTTCCTTGATGTTAAGAGGTCGAATAAGAAACAGCAAGCTGTCAGTGAGGAAATCCATTGTCGGGTAGGTGTTATTGTAGCAGATCAGTTTAAATGGTCAAAGGGAAAATTATGGGATTAAGTCAGACAGCTTGACACCAGGGTCTCATTTCCTGAAGAAGAGGTAACTGGCAGAGGGTGATGGGTGTGGGGGGTGGGCTGAGGAAGAGGTGAATTGAGGGTAGAATGAACATAGCCCCCCCATGGAGGCTACACACCTCAGGAATACAGGGACAAGCAATCCCCTTTTAGCCCTTACTTCAGCCTGAAGGAAAATTGTGACCATACTTCATAGTTTCCAAAATTACAAACTACTGTGTTAAAAAATATGAATTCTAATGATCGATATGACAAACATCTCATGAATTTGTTTGAAGATGAATTGTCGTCTTATTTGTTTTCAGTTAAAATTCAAGCAAACCAAAACCAAAAAGTATCAGCATCTTTGAAGTTTAGGCATGATAGAAATAGTAATGGTATTTCTATTAGAATTCTATAAATTTCTATAGTTATAATTTCTACACACAGAAATAATCATTACCATTTCTGTAAGTAGGAATTAATAATTTCTGTAAATAGAAACAGAGATGACTGATTTCAGATAAAAATGAATCAACCAGCTGGCTTTTTCTGTTTTAGTTTTTTGATCACGTGAAGACCGGGATTGAAGATGTTTGTGGTCATTGGGGTCACAACTTTTGGAGAGACAAGTAAGAAGGCTTTAAGTGGCTCTGGATCAGTCTGGGAGCAGGACACATTGACTTGTGTTATTTTTTAGACTTTTCAATCTTTCCTGTTGTGCCATAGTCTGTCCTTTAAGATAAAGTTTGGTTCTCATAGAGGCTTAGAACAATAGGAGCTTTTACAAGGTAGAAGCTTATTTCTCTCTTATGTATCAGGTAGGCAGTGTACCATTGACAGGTGAATTACGCTCCACAGATTCCTTGTGGTTCCAGGACCCTTCCTCCACCAAGAACCTCCATTTCCAGTGTTGCCTTTCAGACCAAAAATGGCTGCTGCAGCACTAGCTATTATGTGCACATGCCAGGAAGAAAGTCAACAAAGAGACAAAGAATATGTACTAGTTTCCTCCTAATCAAAGTTATCAGAGGCTTCACTGAGTTCTTCCAGTTGAATCACATGTCCTGGCCTTGCATGACCAGGGCTAATTTTATGGGCATTTCTCACTGTGGGGGAGGCCGAGGAATGCAGTCTCTTTGGTTTAAAACCAGGGGTTCCATTACTGTCTATTCTCCCACACATGTTGAGCGGCTTTGTCAAATACAGAGCTCCAGAGCACCTGAGGAGATACATAGACTTGCAAAAATAGCAAATGTTTTTAAAGTTACACTTCTCTGAAAAATGATGTGTATTTACACAGATGTGTGGGCTTCCCAGGTGGCACGGTGGTAAAGGATTGTCATGCCAATGGGTTTGATCCCTGGATCGAGAAGATCCCCTGGAGGAAGAAACGGCAACCCACCCCAGTATTCTTGCCTGAAGAATTCCATGGACAAAGAAGCCTGGTGGGCTGTAGTCCATGGGATCGCAGAGTTGGACATGACTAAACATGCAAGCATGCACATAAATGTGTATCTCTCTCTATGTATATATAATTTATGTGGTGGTTTAGTCCCTAAGTTGTGTCCAGCTCTTGCGACCCCATGGACTGTAGCCTGTCAGACGCCTCTGTCCATGGATTTTCCAGGCAAGAATACTGGAGTGGGTTGCCATTTCCTTCTCCAGGGGATCTTCCCAACCTAGGTAGCAAACCCGGATCTCCTGCATTGCAGGCAGACTCTTTACTGTCCGAGCTAATATATAATTTATATGTACATATATATGTATACACACACACACACATATGTGTGTATGCATGTATGATAATAAAGATTTAGAGCCTTTCTTCAAGGATCTCGTAGCTGAAATGCAAGAGATAGACGACCAGGGAGAATTAGGTGCACAGTTTAATATATACGGAAAAACAGACTTATGGGATCAAGAAATACGGATTAATTCTGATAGCAGGGTTACGGCCAGTATGGTACAGGAGCAGCTCCCATGGGCTGGTGGGAGCTGACCGTGTGCATCCAAGTCAATGCCATCCACACTGGTGACTTGACTCGGCCAGGGGGGGAGTGAGCCAGGGAACTGACAAGTGCCACAGATCATACATGTGTCCAATTTGCAGGCACATCACTGTCTGGGAAAGACTTTTGGAGGAGGGTGTTTCAGCTGGTCCTTGAAGAGAGACAGACAGGTCCCAAGATATATTTGGTGGATTCCTGTTCAATCTCTTGTCTTTTCTTTCCTAGCTTGCAAGCAGATTCCCCCCACCCCTCCCCTTGCAAATTTACATGAAGTGCAGCAACGCACCAATTTACGTAGTTGAACATAAGTACATCTTTGAGTGCTTTCTGTTTGCTCACGTATTCTGACATGACAGTGGACTGCAAGAGGAGTGTAAGCCATATACTTGGGCCTTTAAAATTTTGCAATATAGTAAAGGCAACTAAGCAGTCACATAGCAAACAGGGGGGTGTGTGCGCGTGACATCATTAGGTAATGAGTTATAGGGACTACAAGTGCTGGCACAACCTCTTCACAAGACTGACTATGCTGTTTGCTAATGTACAGAGGCCCCTGGACATAGCCTTCCTTCATAACTAAAGGAAAAATATTTTGTTTGTAGGAACAGACTACTTCATTAGTGAGATGGGAACACTCAGTAATAAAATAAAGTGAATTAAAATCTCTGTTGTAAAATCATGAAACAAAAGGCCAGTTGTCTTGGTGGTATTCACTTTTTTGGAGGCAGGAGGCAGAGCAGAGAACCCTGCTGTGACTCCCTACATCATCCTGCTTTAGGTCTCTGCATGTCTATGCCAAGCCCATGATACAGGCTTTTCTGCCACGTGTTCTCTGTTGATTGCATGAAAGTGAGTCACTCAGTTGTGTCCGACTCTGCAACCTCATGGACTGTAGCCCACCAGGCTCCTCTGTCCATGGAATTCTCTAGGCAGGAACACTGGAGAGTGTAGCCATTTCTTTCTCCGAGGGATCATCCTTCCTGACTCAGGGATTGAACCTAGGTCTCCTGCATTGCAGGTGGATTCTGTACTGTCTGAGCCAGCAGGGAAGCCCCAGGCCTTTATCCATCTTCAGCATCCTTTTCAGCCTGACCACTTTTGTTTTTCTCGAATCCTATCCGTCCTTTTCTGAAGTGATTAAATGAGTATGGTCATCCAGAGCAGTTTGTCCTTTTCCCAAGGGGAGATTGAACTAGAGATTTATCCCACTGCTCTGACGTCCAAACAGAAGGAAACATAGATATGATGAAGGAATGAGGCTGGTTGGCCCTGGGGCCGTGATACGTGATGGAAGAGGTGAGCCCTGTGAACTTGTGATTGGGTCCAGAAAGTGAAGGACTAGAGAAAGTCTACCTTCGTCCTGCCTTCCAGGCAGACACCTCATCTCTAAATGTGAATCTGTTCTGGGCAGACATCTGTAAGCTCTGGGCTAATTGGACCATAAATATAAAACATGGTGGAGCCCACTTTGATTCATGTCTGGAAGGTAATATTGCGACATACCTGACACCTCCTCTGCAGTATGCATGCTTCACTGAAGAAATTTATGAAGGCTTACATATTTGCATGCATGAAGTGTTCCAGGTAAATTAAAATAATTTTCTGGATTGTCAAGCACACTGTGCACTGCAGGTAGAGTAGAGAAGTTAGTGTGAAGGGATTTGATGCTGACACAAGTCATTCTTGAAATGAGTTCTCAGATCTCATTTCTGGTCTGTACATAATTGTGGATGTTACAAAAATGGCATAAAAAACAAGCGACTGTTTTAGGGGTATCCTTCTCTTCCTTCTGAAATCCTTTTACTGTAGATTTCTAATGGTCCTTCCGGAGGGTTCTTGAGCCATTTGACCCTTTGAAAATGAAATGAAAGGGTCATGCAGTAAGGATGTTTCTAGTGTTTGGCAAAAGTTGTCTGATGATAGTAAAAAAGCCACCTATGTGTAGCTTGGTGGAGAAATGAAACGTATGGAGATAGAGCAAATAAAGGGTATAAATCCTACAGTGCATAGGTCAGATGTCACTGTCTTTAATGTTTATTCTTCTTGCAAATCTCTCGTTGGGCTTTCCAGGTGGCACAGTGGTAAATAATCTACCTGCCAGTGCAGGAGATTTGGCCCCTGGGTCGGGAAGATCCCCTGGAGTAGAAAGTGGCAATCCACTCTTGAATTCTTGCCTGGAGAATGCTATGGACAGAGGAGCCTGGAGGGCTTCAGTCCACGAGGTTGCAGAGTCGGACGTAACTGGGAAAAAAAAGAAAGAGAAAACTAAAAGAACAACAACAATGATATTAATACAAGTTTGAAAATAAGGTGCTGTGTTGCTGCCAGGCGTCCTGGTTCAGTGAGCTTTACGTGAAATTCAAAATAAACTTAGATAAAAATAGGCCCAGTGTTTGGTGTGGAGACCAGTCAATAGCAAAACCCTTTCAAGGTAGCTCTCTGCCATTGTTCTTAGGTCTCCTGTATTTGGAACAAAGGACTAGTACCATGAATGTGGCTTAACATTGTTCACTTTCATAGCACAGGTGTGCCTATAAACCACGTTGGACTTACAGTGATCACTGTAACACATTATTTTCCTCATCAAATATTTACTGCCTACTGATTCACTTGAATATTGGCGTAATATTTATATACAAACCAAGTCAATATTCAACTGCTTACAGGAGCAGTCACTTATTATAGCTGATTGACATTGTTGTACAGCAGAAGTTAACACAGCATTGTGAAACAACTATACTCCAATTAAAGAATAAAAAAAGAATTAAAAAAAAACCCTCAAAAGCAAAGGGAAAAAATTGTTCAATATTTCACAAAGAACCAAATTCAGGGTGACATATGCAGAAAGCATTCATCTTCTATCATCACATGAACATGCTGCACAAATGTCTCCAGAATCTATGATGCTGCTTAAGGAAATGTATTATTTTTGATAGGAAAAAATGAAATACATTGTCTTTTTGCAGTAGATAAAGGAACTAAAGTACTTAAGTTAGGAGGCAGAGAGTCAGCTCATCTGGCCTCTTCTTGCTCCAGCTTCAGAGCATCAGTGGGTCATCACCTGATCCTGGCCAGCCTTCTCTGATGTAACGGGTCACTTAACTCTGCTTCATGGGACATTCACCTTTGTCCTGGGACCAAGGAGTCACTCCAGGTACATCCTTCTCATGCCATGTGGCAACATAAGAAGTGAGCTCCAGTGAGCAAGCCCATCCATAGCCTCTGCTCCCATCATCGTGTCTCCTGACTGCCCATTGACCAAAGCAGGTGATGTCATTGATCTCAGGGGCAGGAAGCAGGATGGAGCAGGTCACCTCAGCCATGGTGGAAGGGCATCACCAAGTAACCTGATCTGTTACAGGGTGTGGGTCCAGGGAGGAGCTGGGCCGGGTGATTCAGTCTGCCTTTAAGCTTACAAAGCTCCTGGCCGTGTCCTGGACCCTGGTAAGATAGGAACACAGGCAAACAAAACGAAACGCAGTCTGCGCATGGGTCATTAACGCTAGGAGAAGAAAAGCAGTAAATAAGCATTGGATAGCCTGTTAGAAAGTGCTGACTGCAATGGAGGAAAATGTGCCTGGGAAGAAGAGGAAGTTCTGGAGTGCAATTCTAGTAGGGTAGATAGGAAAGGCTCTTGTGAGAAAATGACCTTAAGGAAAAGACTTGAAGGTAGTAAAAGTAAAAAGTAGTAGGTACAGAGACCCCGAGGTGGGAGCAGGGCTGGCATGTTTCTGGGACGGGGACGGCCTCAGAGAGGCTGGAGCAGCACAGCCTTGAGGCAGGCAGCTCCAAGTGGTGTCAGGCATCCAGGTCATTGTGCTAGTACTCAGTGAGAGGCAGAGGAGTTGCGGGGTTTGACTTACTTGTTTTCTATTGAGAATTTTATTTATTTATTTTTGGCTGTGCTGGGTCTTCATTGCTGTTTCTCTACTTGCAGTGAGTGGGTGCCACTGTCTGTTTGGTGCATGAGCTGCTCATCATGGTGGCCTGTTTTGTTGCAGACCACGAGACCTAGGTGCACGGGTTTGAGTTTTCATAGTTGCAATGCTTGGGCTCAATAGTGCCCAAGCACTGCTTGTAGTTCACGGGCTTAGCTTGTGTGATCTTTTCTGGCCAGGGATCGAACCCATATCCCCTGCATTGGCAGGCAGATTCTCAACCACTGGACCACCAGGGAAGTCCTTGATTTACACTTTAATGGGATCCCTGTGACATTAGTGGTAAAGAACCTGCTTGCCAGTGCAGGAGATGTAAGTAAGAGACACTGGTTCTCTCTCTAGGTTGGGACGATCCCCTGGGGAAGGGCATGACAACCCACTCCAGTATTCCTGCCTGGAGTATCCTCATGGACAGAAGAGCCTAGTAGGTATAGTCCATGGGGTCACAAAGAGTCGGACACGGCTGAAGCGACTTAGCAGCAGCAGCTGGTTTGCATCAAGGATAGGCTATAGGAACATGGTGGCAGAGGCAGGAAAACCAATTTGTTGCCTGTTGCAATAACCCATTGGGAGATGATAATGCTCAGGTGGTACTAGTGGTAAAGAACCACACACGCCCCCCCCACCCCCCACCGCCAATGCAGGAGACGGAGGAGACCTGGGTTCCATCCCTGGGTTGGGAAGATCCCCTGGAGGAGGGCATGGCAGCCCACTCCAGTGTTCTTGCCTGGAGAGTCTCATGGACAGAAGAGCCTGGCGGGCTGCAGTCTGTGGGGTTGCACAGAGTTGGACAGGACTAGCGCGACTTAGCACGCGATGCTGGGCCCAGGGCGATGGCTGGAGGAAGGATTAGATTTTGTGTGTACTGAAATGGTGGAACTAACAGAAGTCGTTGATAGAGTGGATGTAGAGTATTAGTTTGCCAGAGCTGCTGTCACAAACTACCGCACATTCATGACTTAAATAGGAGTTACTGTCTCATAGTTCTAGGGGCTGGAAGTCCAAGAATAAGATGTCAGTGAAACTGGTTCCTTTGGAACTGAGAGGGAAGGGTCTGCTCCAGGCATCCTCTCTTGGCTTGTGGTTGTCTTTCTTTTTCCTGCTTCTTCACATTGTCTTCTCTCTTTACATATCTGTGTCTGAATTTCCTCCTAAAATACACACACCAGTCATGTTGCATTCAGGCCCACTAATGACCTCACTTTAACTTAATCAGCTGTTTCCAAATACGGTCCCACTCTGAGGTCCTGGGGACCAGGACTGTAACATATGGATGTTGGGGGGAACACAGTTCAGGTCATAATGTGGAATATGAGAGAAGGCGGAAAATCAGAGCTGACAGCAGGGTTTTTGACCAAGTGGAGCTGTCGCTAACTGAAATGGGGATGACTTGGGAGAAGATCCATTAGAGCATGCCAAGTTTGAGATGTCCAAGTGGACACGTTGATCAGGGGTCTGGATACTCATTTCTGAGGTTTGGGAAAGAAGTTGGAGCTGGAGACACACATTTGGGAGTCTTGGGCATGAAAAGTGAAAGTGTTAGTCACTCGGTCATGTCCTGCTCTTTTGTGAACCCACGGACTGTGGCCCGTCAGGCTCCTCTGTCCATGGAATTCTCCAGGTAAAATTACTGGAGAAGGGCATCTCCTTTTCCAGGGGATCTTCCCTGACCCAGGGATCAAGCTGATGTCTCTTGTGTCTCCTGCACTGGCTGGCAGGTTCTTTACCACTAAGGCCACTTGGGAAGCCCCATTAGATATAAGTATGTTGTGGTTAAAACAAAAATATACTAATATGTGCTCTCTCTATATATTCAGGTATGCACCTACAAAAATAAATACAATGATCTGACTAACTAAACACTGCTACTATTTTTTTCCCCTGGGAGTAGTGGAAATTATTTTATTGGTAAGAACAGATTTTTTTTTTCTTAATCAGTGTTGTGTTAATTAATTGAAGTTTTGATTTTGCTTATTTCCAGGTTTAAGAAGTTTGATGACAAATACCTGAGGAAGCTTTTGATTCGGGAGAACCAACCCAAGTCAAGCATTGTGTCTTTATACAAAAAGCTTGAAATAAAACACGCCATCGAGATGGCAGAAACTGGGATGATAAGCACTGTTCCTTCTTTTGCATCTTTAAAGTAAGTCCTGTTTTGAAAATAGAAGTTAATGTGGCTTCCCAAGTACCTCAGTGGTAAAAGAACCTACCTGCCAGTGCAAGAGAAACAGGTTCAATCCCTGGGTCAGGAAGATCCCCTGGAGGAGGAAATGGCAACCCACTCCAGTATTTCCAGTATTCTTGCCTGGAAAATTCCATGGGCAGAGAAGCCCGGTCCCGGTGGGTACAGTCCATTGGGTTGTGAAGAGTCAGACATGACTGAGCATCTGAGCAACTTATTGCTAAGTAGGTGTTTATAGTTTTGTGAAACCAGTAATAATAAGAAATTTGACTTATGTCCTAACATGAGTCCTTAAGACCTCACAGCAGAAAGAGCTACTGGTTAAAATGTGAAAACCTGGAAATGTGTCCATTATTTTATACTATGTCATGTCATGTCACGTCACACCATGTTGTGTTATTGTAGAATGGACTAGTCAGAAAGTACCTGCTCATGTTTGGGATGATTATGTATTTATTGTATTTGCTTTGGACAGTTCAGTGTGTTCTGAAAGTAAAGCCTCTTCATCAGGCATTTTGAAATGGAATAGTTTAAGGTGTGTTATGATTTTCAATTATAAAGACGAATGTAATTACATAGCTATTTCCTCATGGATTTTTCATAGAGTCATAATTTAAGGCTTGGAAAGAACATTTAGTGGCAATCTTGTGCAGAGGTGCTCAACTCAGGCTGTACAGTGGAAATACTGTAGGAGCATTTAAATAACACACATGCCTGGGCCCCACCCAGACCAATAAAATCAGAATCTCTGGTGTTGAGGCTCAGGTATAGGTTTTTTATATATAAGTGATGTGAATGAACCTAGACCCTGTCATCCAGAATGAAGTTAAGTCAGAGAAAAACAAATATCGCATATTAGCTTGTATATATGGAATCTAGGAAAATGGTACTGATGAACCTATTTGCAGGGCAAGAATAGAGATGCAGATGTAGAGAATGGACTTGTGAATACAGAGAGGGCAGGAGAGGGTGGGATGAACTGAGAGAGTAGCTTTGACTTATATACACTACCATGTACGAAAGAGATAGCTAGGAGAAGCTGCGGTATGGCTCAGGGGGTCAGCTCGGTGCCCTGTGATAACCTAGACGGGGGGTATGAGGCGGGTGAGAGGGAGGCCCGAGAGGGAGGGGATGTACGCACACATATAGCTGATTCATGACATTGTACAGCAGAGACCAACACAACATTGCAAAGCAATTATATTCTAATAAAAATATATAACCTTATAGAAGTGTATAATAAGGAATCCAGTATTGAGATGCACTGACCTAGTCTGTCTCCCTAATTTTAAAAACGAGGAGATGAATACCCAGAATGTAAAGTGACTTAAACTCTTATAGCAAATCCATAGCAGAGTAATACATACTGTCAGCAAATTAGCAAATGAGTTTATCAAAAAAGCATCATTCCTCCTCTACATGACAAATTTCAGGTTACGATGATTGCTTCTTTTACTGATGAGCTTGAAGCTTGTTTCAGCAAAGTTTCACCTAAATTAAAATGCTAGCTATGGAAGGGTTGAAATGAAAGAGAAACTCCAAATCACACCCAACCGTATAAACTGTGATTTTCATTAGGATGATAGTCCCCTATGAGAATTATGGTAGTTTACACCGTACAGAATAAAAAGTAGTAGTGGTCAGGATGACTCAGAAATAAAGGCATTATATTGCACTGGAAATAGTGGTGATTGAGCAGAATGACTGTTTATAGTCCCAGCTCTGCAAATAACTCACTGTGTGACCTTAAGCTGGTCCATCTGTTTCCCTGAGATTGTTTCTTCAAGTAGAAAATGGGGCTATACTTGCTCCTTGAAGTTTACTCCAGGTTTACCACTTATGATCTTTCTTAGGCACTGTTCCTTTTGTGGGTGCAGCACAAAATAATTCAACTATCCAGCTTCTCAAAAGGGAGTCACTGACTCCATGGTCATAGAAGAAGGAAATCTCAGCTTTACCTCTGCTCACAGTTCATCTTGAAGCCAGTCAAAAGTGGAGTAAAGGCAAAGGTTTAGGGTTAGGAAAGTGGGTAACAAAAATTGATGGATAGTTACACAGCTGGGTAAATGATTGCCATGTTCACTATTTCACCTCTTCTGAAGTGTTTTCTTTGGAGGAGGATAGAAGCAAAAAAGAGAAGCAGTAAGGTGTCATATTTCTGGCAATAATGAACTGAGTCCAGACCAAACTACTGAGAAAACTAGAGGAAAAAGGACAAAATATATTTTAAATATCTGCTGGAAAGCTGGACAGTATCTATATAGTGAGGAATTTCTTGGCTCGAAGTCAAAAGAGAGGGAAGTTCAAGAGGATAGAACTGGCATTTATTGCTATTTTCTGTCTGGAATTTGGAGGACGTGTCTTAAGAGTCTAAAAAGCTAAAACAGGGGTTTAGACAGACTAATTGGTCTTAGAGAATAAAATTAGAATTCAGAACCTACCAAGAAGGAGGAGCATTTGTATGTACTCGTACAATGTATGTACATATATTTGTATGTATAGGTTTTTACTTCAAAGTCCTACACCTTAACCCCCAAGGGAAAGAAGCCCAGCCTGGAATTATCTCAATTCTTGATTATTTAAATCATCAGAGACTGAGATTGCCTCTATCTCAGCTGCTCAAGAGAAGTTAAGTTTAAACCTTCTCTGGAAGAAAATAAGATTGTAAAGAGCATTAAAGTATCCGCATGATTGTTTTATATATGTGTAATACTTAATCCAAAATAACCAAGCATATGAGTAGACAGGGAATGTGACTCAAAACACTGAGAAACAAGCAACAAAATATAAATAACAGTCGACACAAAAGGGATTCAGATCACTGGATTGTGGGACAGGGACTTTAAAACAGAAATAGAAACATGCTTAAGGGAAGAAAATGGCATTGACACTTTTGGCATTGTCATGGAGATTATATAAACAAAAAAGACCAAAGTGAAGTATTTGAGCTGAAAATAAAGTAACTAAATTTAGGATCTCACTTGACAGCTATCAAAACAGACTAGATAAAGTTGAAGAGAAAAGGAATTCATTGAAAGATAGGACAGAAGGAAAGACCAGAATGAAAAACAGTATGAAGAAAAAAAAAAAAAGATGAAAAAGAAAGTGAGAAATATATGGGGTAGATTCATATATAATGAAAAGCTCCAGAAGGAGATGAGAGGGAAATTGGCAGAAGCAATACCTTAAGGAATACTGACTGACGATCTCCCCAAACAGATAAAAGACTTGAATTCTGACAGCCTCAAGGAGATTAGATAAGGAGAGAACCAAATGTAGATAACAGGTTCATAAACCTGCTGAAGGTCAAAAATACAAAGAGAAAATCTTAAACGTACTCAGAGGGGAAGGAAGAGACCTATTTTCTTCAAAAGAGAGAAAACCTGACCACTGATTTTTCAATAAACCAGTGGACACTATTGGTGGCTTCAAAATTCTGAAAAAATGTAACTGAACCTAGAGTTCCATGTCCTGCTAAAATATCCTTTAAAAAAGTAGAATTAAAACTTAGAAACATCTTGCACTTAGGAACCCTAGACAGCACTTCAGAACTATACTTGGGAACCATTTAAAACAACAGGATAACCTTAATAAAAAGCACAAAATGTGAAGAACATTCCACTAGATGATGAAAAGGACATTTTTTTTTTTTTTTAACAGCATGAGAGCTGAGACAAAGAGGCAGAGGGTTGACATGTTTGGCTTCATTTGGAAACCTGCATGCCCAACGATTCAAATTTTTATTCACTTTGCACATGTCTGAGAATGATTGGGACAGTGCCCTGAGTACTGATAATGTGTTTATAAACAAATTGTATCAAGTCAGTGAATTTGCAAATATGGACTCCCTGAATAAAGAGGATCAACTGTATGGACATATGTAGTATAAATGGTGTCTTTGTAAATACTTCTAATGAGGTATTTTTAAAAATAGAGCCATAATAGTAAAATTCAGCTAATTAAGTTTTGTGGGAATATAACAGTCCTATGCTACTTTATTTATAGAGCATTAGAAATAATAAAGTGATAACATTGCAAGCCACTCTAGTCTTTTCTCTTTAAATAATTGCATGAACAGACTGAAAAAACTGGTGCATGATTAAACTTATGTGAATGATTTTGACACTGAAATAAATGTTTTAGATTTTTTGAATTATTTTAAACTACTAAATAATTCGTTTTATTCATTAGGTTTCTTCTTCTTAAATGATGATATTACATCTCTAAGAAAGAACATAGATGAATTTAATACTTGTTGAATAGTAAAATATTTTTTCCTAAACGTTCACAGTGACTGTCGTGAAGAAAAAGTAAGGAAGCTCACACCTGGTGAAATGGATGAAATCCGAGAAATATTGTCAAGAAATCTCTATCAGATCCGTCAGCGAGTAAGAATAATTTATTTAGCAAAATTGGTCCTTGCCTTTGGAGTGGGAAATGGCAACCTGCTCCAATATTCTTGCATGGAGAATCCCGTGGGCAGAGGAGCCTGCGGGGCTGTAGTCCACGGGGCTGCAAAGAGTTGGACACAACTGAGCGACTGAACACCCACATACTTGCCTTTGCTTAAAAATATGCCTGCAGATTAGACGCTGTTCATTACGGGGGCTGTTGCCGCCATCACGCCAGCCTCTGCAGGGCCCACACCAGCTACTTCCTTCCCTCAGACCCCCTGCCCCCCAGGGGCCTGTCCCGTTAGGGTACAGCTCTCCTCCCAGACACCTTGGTCAGGAGGCTGGAATTCCAGGGAGGTAAGAGTTCTGCTACCAAAGACTTGGAGATAAAAACATGTGTTATCTAATGGTGAAGAAAGTTAATTGATTGCTCTTTAAACTTTTTGAATGAAATAGCTTTATCACTTAGAAGACTTTTCAAAATGTGTTTAACCTTCTTCGTTTGTAAAGTGCAACCATTTCTTCCCTTGCTGTATCTTTGGAGCCATTTCTTTCAACCCATTTCCATCACGGAGCCTCATTCTCACAGTTCACTGGTAATAGAGCCGACACTTAGTGTGTGCGGTTTGCCAGCCCCCATTTCCGTGCGCTGTGGGTCTTAACTCTTCATCCTCCAGCAAGTGGTGTTACTATTGTCTCCATTTTATGGATGAAGAAACTGAGGCACAGTGAGGTGCCCTGGGGCAGGGACACAGTGCTTGTCAGGGATCCCGGTCACTCACATCAGGGCCTTTTCTGGAGCTTCTTAGCTGACCTCACAGCCCATCCCATTCCATCTGACATCACAGTGGTTCCACTCTTTTCTTAAAGTTCTTTTTATTTATTTAAAATATTTTTTCAGTCATTGTTGAGTTCAATATTGTTTCTGTTGTTTATGTTCTGGCTTTTGGGCCTGGAGGCATATGGGAATCTTAGTTCCCCAACCAGGGATTGAACCCACCCACCTTGGACTGGGAGGCGAAGTCTTAACCACTGGACCACCAGGGATGTCCAATAAAGCCCCTTTTAATAAAGCATCTTTCTATTTAAAATGAGACAAAGCAGTTGTGGCTTCCAGGCTCAGCTATTCTTTCAGCCTTTGGGATCTGTATTCAGGCTCCCCCTTACCCAACTGTGCTTCCACCTCACCCACCCACCCATACACCCACAGAGCGAGGGGTCTGAATTCGTTCCTCAGACTGTGTTGCTGTCTTCTGCATCTCCACTTGAAATGCCCCACTCCTTCCTGTCAGTTGATCCATCTTCTCCGATTTTTAAGGTTTCCTCAACACCCTCTAAATTATTCCCTGGCCTGTCTTTGAATGGGCTATCACTTAGAGCTCCTACATCCCACATCATTTTAGCATTTCATTTCACAATTTTGTATTATTTTGTTACTTTCACATGCTCAGCTAGATAGCAGATTCCTAGAGGCAGGAAATGAGTGTGGTTCTGTGGTACTTCTGTTTATCTCTACTAGATCTGACATGTTGTTTAGTCAATATGTTGTGTCTCACTCTTTGCTACCCCATGGACTGTAGCCTGCCAGGCTGCTCTGACCACGGGATTTCCCAGACAAGAACACTGGAGTCAGTTGCCATTTCCTCCACCAGGGAATATTCTCAACCCAGGAATCAAATCCTTGTCTCCTGTTTTGGCAGGTGGATTCTTTACCACTGAGTCACCTGGAAAGCCCAGGTGTGATACAGCTCTGGGGATAAGAATATTCCCAAGAAGTATGCATTAATTCTATCAGAAAATGAACTTAATTACTGACTACAGTTTATTTTAGGAAATGGATTTCTGTATAGCTTATAGCTATACTTCTCCAAGCCAGGCTTCAACAGTACATGAACCGTGAACTTCCAGATGTTTAAGTTGGATCTAGAAAAGGCAGAGGAACCAGAGATCAAATTGCCAACATCTGCTGGATCATTGAAAAAGCAAGAGAGTTCCAGAAAAACATCTATTTCTGCTTTATTGACTACACCAAAGCCTTTAACTGTGTGGATCACAACAAACTGTGGAAAACTCTTCAAGAGATGGGAATACCAGACCACCTGGCCTGCCTCCTGAGAAATCTGTGTGCAGATCTGTAGGTCTCTAAGTCAGGAAGCAACAGTTAGACCTGGACATGGAACAACAGACTGGTTCCAAATTGGGAAAAGGGTACTCCAAGGCTGTATATTGTCACCCTGCTTATTTAACTTATATGCAAAGTACATCATGAGAAATGCTGGGCTGGATGAAGCACAGCTGGAATCAGGATTGCTGGGAGAAATATCAATAACCTCAGATATGCAGATGACACCACCCTTATGGCAGAAAGCGAAGAAGAACTAAGGAGCCTCTTGATGAAAGTGAAAGAGGAGAGTGAAAAAGTTGGCTTAAAACTTAAACATTCAGAAAACTAAGATCATGGCATCTGGTCCCATCACTTCATGGTAATAGATGGGGAAATGGGAAACAGTGACAGACTTTATTTTTGGGGGCTCCAAAATCACTGCAGATGGTGACTGCAGCCATGACATTAAAAGATGCTTGCTGCTTGGAAGAAACATTATGACCAACCTGAGTGAGTGAGTGAAGTCGCTCAGTCGTGTCCGACTCTTTGTGACCCCATGGACTGTAGCCTACCAGGCTCCTCCCTCCATGGGATTCTCCAGGCAAGAATACTGGAGTGGGTTGCCATTTCCTTCTCCAGGGGATCTTCCCGACTCAGGGATTGAACCCGGGTCTCCTGCATTGCAGGCAGACGCTTTAACCTCTGAGACACCAGGAAAGCGCCCCCCCCCCACAAAAACCTAGACAGCATATTAAAAAATAAAGACATTACGTTGCCAACAAAGGTCCATCTAATCAAAGCTGTGGTTTTTCCAGTAATCATGTATGGATGTGAGAATTGGACTATAAAGAAAGTTGAGCACCAAATAATTAATGCTTTTGAACTGTGGTGTTGGAGAAGACTCTTGAGAGTCTGTTGGACTGCAAAGATATCCAACCAGCCCATCCTAAAGGAAATCAGTCCTGAATATTCATTGGAAGGACTGATGCTGAACTCCAAGTTCAGGTGGCTGATCTTGGCCACCTGATGCGAAGAACTGACTCACTGGAAAAGACCCTGATGCTGAAAAAAATTGAAGGCAGGAGGAGAAGAGGACGACAGAGGATGCGATGGTTGGATGGCATCTCCGACTCAGTGGACATGAGTTTGAGTAAACTCCGGTTGTTGGTGATGAACAGGGAGGCCTGGTGTGCTGCAGTCCATGGGGTTGCAAAGAGTCGGACATGACTGAGTGACTGAACTGACTGACAACTTATAGAACTAAAAATGTATACCCTGGACAGCCCTACTTTATAAGTTGTATGGCTTCAAATATTGATTATTGCTGGTGGAGACAGCCACTTTTCTCAATTTGAAGAGAAATGCTCTTAAGTTAATTAGAGGGTCATAGCACCACCAAGTGGCCCAAAGTGGTTGGTTTTCATACCAGTCATTACTATCAGTAGAGAATGTATGACTTCTGTTTTTTTCCCAGCCACTACTGATGAGTAAATACGTATAACATACTTCAAAGAAGTCAAAGATGCTTGATGAATTCAGTCATTTTTCTATTTAGAAAGATCATACTTTTCAATGAAAAGTATTCACTGACTTTTACTAGAACATGAATTTTTTTCCCCCCTTAAGTAGAGAATTTTATTTGGTTCAATCAAACACAGTTATTGAATATATGTGGGGCTTCCTAGGTGATGCAGTAGTAAGGAATCCACCTTCCAATGCAGGAGACACGAGAGACATGAATTTGATCCCTGGGTCGGGAAGTCCCCCTGGAGAAGGAAATGGCAACCAGCTCCAGTATTCTTGCCTGGACAATCCCCATGGACAGAGGAGCCTGGTGGGCTTCAGTCCAGAGGGTCACAAAGAGTCGGACAGTGACTGAGCGAGTAACAACACATAACAACACAACTTGAAATTTCTACCGTTGTTACCGAAATTTGTTACCAAATTTGAGATTTGGTAGAATATGAATTCTTTCAAAGTTCATGAATATTAATAACCTCTGAATGTTAACACAATTGGAAAGAATGTTCACTTCTCTTCTTCCTGCATGCCCCCCTCCCTTCCCCGTACGGTCATCATCAAATATCTCTTCAAGCTGCAAAGCCAAAGAAATGTAGTGAAGTGCTGGAACTTGCGGGCAGTGGTCAGTGTTTTGGTAAAATGTCACTGGTGTCTTCATTTCAGACCTTGTCCTACAACCGACACAATCTGACGGCTGACACGAGTGAGAGGCAGGCCAAGGAGATCCTGATCCGCCGGCGGCACAGCCTCCGGGAGAGTGTTCGGAAGGACAGCAGTCTGAACCGGGAGCATCGGGTAAGGCGCTTCACGCCTCTGGGACGCGGGAGGCTCCTTCAGCAGAGCCCGCAGCCGTCCCGGGGGAGCTGGCGACAGGACGGGGTGGTGGGGGGCTGGCCCACAGGAATCCTGGGATGGAGCCCATGGTAACACCTTCCCAGGTGTTTCTGAGACACCTGTCATGTTCCAGACGCTGTCCGGGCACTTGGAATACGTTGGTGTGAACAGAACTACAAAGCTCCCTTCCTAGGTAGAATTCACATTCCAGTGGGGGAAAGGCCACCAGAAACGGCCTGAATAAGGAAATTGTTATGTTAGAGGTGATACGTGCTGTGGACAAAATAAGCCAGAAAGGGCTGAGGAGGGAGGTTTGGGAAGACGGGGACGGGTCAGGCAGTGTGCAGCGTTAAACTGAATGGGGGGTCAGACTTCGTTTTGGGGAGTCACGGCTGCTCTTTCCAGGGAGAGGGTGCAGCCTGAAGGTGAGCCAGACAGCGTGAGTGGAAACTTCCAGAAGGCCCTGTGTCTGTGTCCGGAGAGTTTCAGATGTTCTGTGTTCAGCACTCCACTTGGTCCAGGGCCCTGTCCTAGATAAGGAAGCCACTTTAAAAGGCGATTCTGGGACTTCCCTGGTGGCACAGTGGATAAGAATCCACCTACCAATGCAGGGGACCCAGGTTCGGTCCCTGGTCTGGGGAGATGCCACATGCCACGGAGCAGCTAAGCCCGTGATCCACGACTACTGAGCCTGAGCACTCTAGAGCCTGTGCTCGGAAGCAAGAGAAGCCCACGCACTGCAACAAAGAATAGTCCTTGCTCTCTGCAGCTAGAGAAACCCCACAAGCAGCAACGAAGACCCAGAATAGGCAAAAGTACATAGTTTTTTAAAAAGTATATTGTGATTGAATATAGCAGGCACTGCATCTCATTGTTAATAATGATCTGTATTGCACTGTTAGAGATCAAAATGGTTCTGTCTGAACAGTATTACATTTTACGTGTGAAATGTGGCAGCATCAACTAAAAGTTAAACTAGAGGGAAGGAAATCTAAAAAAGAGGGGATGTATGTATACATATGACTAATTCACTTTGATGTACAGAAGAAACCAACAACAACATTGTAAAGCAACTAAACTGTGGTAGAAATTAATAGAAAACAAAAGAAAAAAAGTTAAAGAAACTAGAGGCTGTGGCACTGGAAATGCCAGCAAGTTAGCGATAGTGATATTTTTAATTCTATCATTTTCAAGATTTATTAAAGCGAATACAACTTAAACATGCTACATTTTTCATATACCTTCCTCCCTATATATGTAGGTTCTAAGTCTTTTTTTTAGTATTGCTCTTATAAGCGGATGTTTCTGTGGCTTTTCTTTAAGAAAAGCCAGAGATTTTCATATCCTGTTCCTAAGGGTCCCAATTTATTTCTGTTTTCCTTAATAGTGTTGATTTCTGTGATATTTTAAAAGAGGCTTTCCACATTTTAAATCAAATGATTATCACTTAGAACTTTATTCCCCATCCTTACAGTTCCTCACCCAGTCGTTTTGGAATCAAGAACTAAGATTTTAATTTTTAACACCAAGATTTGCTGTAGACTTGTAAACTTCTAACATATAATAAATGGCGTGACACCTAAATAAGGTTTTCTATTATTTTTTTTTACAGGCTTCCACTTCAACCTCCCGATATTTATCCTTACCCAAAAATACAAAGCTTCCAGAAAAGCTACAGAAGAAAAAGAATGTCTCTAATGCAGGTAATGAAGGCAGTTGGAGCAAAAAGACTTTAAACTTATTTATTGATGTTTATAAAATAGAAAACTTTTCTGTTTTCTTCTTTATTAAGGACAATGAGTTCAGTCATTTGAAAACATCATAACATGGTGACCTTTATTAGTATTGCATCCTTTTGGAATAGAGTTTGGTGCATGCTGTACACAATTTAGTTTTATCCCATAATGATTCTGTTTGACATAGCAAAAGGAACTATTGTCGTCGTGTGACTGGTGAACAGGTAAATAGAAAGTTGTCCATCTTCAAAGGTTTACATTTAATTCTGTAATTCTTACTATATTTCTACTTTAAATGTTCATCATTTTAATATATTTTCATAAAGGCAACCATATAATTGACTTTCAGCTCTCATTATTAAAGCTTTGACATGAAGGCTAATATCTTTTTAGTTGATGGTAATCTTTATGTAGATTTCAAGCCATACTGGTGTTTTGACCATTTTATGAAAATGTAAAGGAAATAAACCTGCACATGAGATAGTAGATCAGGACAAGAATCTGCATAATAGCGGCTAATTATTGATCGGTCTCCTGTGTGCCAGACACTGAGCTGAGCAGTCCGGGACCGTTTGGATGGAGCAAGTGGGCGGGCAACTGCTGCCACATGGTCTGTTTGACACCCAGCAGGAGGCCCAGTGGTAAAAAAATCCGCCTGCCAGAGCAGGAGACGCAGGAGACACGGGTTCAATCCCTGGGTCGGGAAGATCCCCTGGGGAAGGAAATGGCAACCCACTCCAGTATTCTTGCCTGGAGAATCCCACAGACAAAGGAGCCTGGCGGGCTACGTCCATGGGGTCACAAAGAGTCAGACATGACTTAGTGCACACACACACTCATTCAACCCTTACTGACATCTCTTGGACCTTAGTTACTTCATCTGTAAAGCGGGTGATCGTGAGGATTCCATAGGTTAATGCATTTGAAAGTGCTCAGTACAGCAGCTGGTACATCAGAAGTTCTTTAGAATTAGTAAGCGTGCACACTTGTGGACACAGATGTTCACAGAGCATATGCACAGTCCCAGGACTCAGGTGGAGTCAGGGTGAGTCCTCTGGCTTTTCTGCGTGACCCCCAGAGCCCAGGGAGGGCCAAGCAGGTGCCAGACCAGTTGCTTGTATCATCTTCTCCCTAAAATGCCTGCCCACGCTGTCTTTCTTTTGCTCCCTGGCAGGTGGCAACAGCAGCGACTCCGACCTGGAGGCGGGGACCACGGTGCTCAACCTGCAGCCTCGGGCCAGGCGCTTCTTGCCAGAACAGTTCTCAAAGAAAGCCCCCCAGGCCTATAGGATGGAGTGGAAGAACGAGGTGGACGTGGATTCCAGGCAGGACCAACCCCACAGCTCCCCAGCTGCCCACAGTAAAGAGGGGTGCCCCCAGACCCCGGGCACGCTCTGCCAGCCCCTCCTCTCCAAAGGCCACTTTGGCTCCGTGCGGGGTGACCGTGTCCACGAAGGCATCCGACCCAAGCCGCCCCCCAGGCTGGTCCGAAGGGCCTCGGAACCTGGAAACCAGAAGGGTCGATTTGGGAGCGAGAAGCCTTAATGGAAATGGCCAAAGCAGACCTGGGGGGACTGGCCCCGCCCAGCTGTGGCTTGTTACCTAGCAACCTGACACAGCAACGAATCCACTTAAACCCCCTATGCATCTAAATACTGTCCTTGGGTAGAAATCAAGCCAGTGGCCAGTGATCCATGGGGCAAATGGTCATCCCAGGAAGAAGAAAATCAAAGAAAAAGTCCCCTACAGTGTCTTTGATGACTTGTTGCTAGCAGTTGTGTTCTTTGCCAGCCTAAAGAAAGAGAGAAAAACAAAACAAACCAAAACATTTGTGCCTTTATTGAACTTGAAGGACAGAACTTGAAATTTTTAACACATCCTTGTTGGTGAAAGTTTTAATATATACATATATGCCTCAGATTTTATTTATGAAAAAATATGTATATCTGTAATTAGTTTTTCAGTGAATGGCACTAAAAATACTCAGAACACCTTTCCACGGCATCCAGGGCAGCTTCCACAGGATGGGGGGCAGGTCATCAGCTCCAGATGGGGGGGTGTTTCCTGATGATTCTGAGCTGATGGCTGTTGGTTAAGAAAGATCACAGCATGGAGCAGAGATTCCTGAGGACGCCAACAGCCAGAACATCTGGGCAGATGAGGCCTGGCTGCCAGACAGTAGGGCCTCTGAAGTTGTGAGAGTCGGCTGGTTTTTAATGTGTTCCTCTTTCTACTGTGTCTGTGGGTGATGTACAGATTCCATCTCCCCGTCGTGTTTAAATGGTACCAAGAGAAAGGTGAAGGGTGTGGGTGAAACCAGCTTATGCTGTATGACAGACTCAGGGCCAGTGTGGGATGAAGCTTGGCCTCATGTGCTGGGTGAGGGGTGACAGGACAGTGCCCGCTTGTAGCCGGCTGGCGGGTTTTGTGCAATACTGGGGGGACGGTGCAGGAGATCCCCTGTTATGCCCATCCACGACCACCTGCTTTAGGACTTTTCTGTAGAACATTCTAGAACTTTTAATCCAGGACAGAGGCTCCAAGCAGACAAGGATAAAGGTTGAGATAAATGATATTCCGACCTTTAACAAACTGGTGGGGATTCAGGTTTTGAATTTCATACAGGAAGCACTTTGGAGAATGTGGGAGTTCTTTTTTTTTTTTTTGCACTAGTCTAATTTGTTACCTCTCCCCCGTCAAGAAAATAGTAGCTCAAATTCTTCATATAAAAATGAATTCTACTCATCTACTTTTTAAAAGTACAGCAGAAAGACCAGAGATGGAACATAACCATTAAAGATTAATACTGGAATCGCTCAGACTGTTGATTTTCTTGGCCTGTCATTTCCCCCTGAAAAACCTTTCTATAAAATTTTGACTTGAACAAAACTTGAAATTTCTGGGGATTTAGATATGAAATGAAGCCACTTTCGATGGATTCACATTGGAGAGACATTTGCTGTGTCTCTCTCTTGGAGACATAGCAAAGGATACAAGTGACCACATGTAATTGCTGGAAAAACAAGAATAAATTAAACCAAAAGATCCGGTACTTAGAAATTCTCAGGCTTAGATCTTGTCCCTTTCTTCTACCCTCACTGATGTGGAGAAGTAAATCTTCTACCCTTTTTTCTCATGTTCTAAAATCTTGAATACCGCTGGATTATCAAGCATGAGACAGAGGGAAGGGTAAATACACCAGGTACAAGTGTAAAAAGAGTACCATTTCTTTCCCAGACTCCCCCAGGTTGATTGGTGGAAAGCAATGTACACATAATTTGAAGACTACAAGCTTAGGACTCTGTGCCAAAATTCTTAATTTTAAATGGAAATATTTATATAAAAAGTATATATTTCATCTGCTGGAAATAAGTTAAAGCTGAATTTTAATGTAGAATCTTTATTATAGGACTGTGATTCATCAAGAGATGTGATGTATATTTTTGAGATTTTGAAGAGTAAGTTACAGTTTAGGAAATCTGAAATGGAAAGTTGAAATGTAAAATAATAACCTTAAAATAGATGGCCTGATTTTTCCTGGTGTCCTAGATTAATAAATATCACAAGGAATCTAATGTTCTGGAACTGAAGGAGAAAACATAAAAATGTTTATTAGATACTTCTTGTTAAGCACATAGACGAAATTCAGCTTTCACTAATTAAAAGTCAGATTAAAAAAAACTTGGGTATTGTGTCAATTTCTAAAAAATGAACACATGTCATTTTATCTATAATTAATTTTTCCTTATTTGTGGAATGGTAAAAAAAAATAAATGTGACTTTATTTAACTTTATACTTTTTTATGTAATTAAATTCTAGACATTATGGGATAGTCTATGGTGTTGAAACCCTTTAAATATCATAACAATCTAAATTTCTGTGGTACAGAAACATCCCTATCCTTATAAATAATTCCCCTGTTTCAAATAGTACTTGATACAATCAAGTTCCAATGTGACCATGGAATTTTGCTGTGTCTTTGGTGTTTGCGCTAACAAATTTGAACTATTTATGAATGCAAAGGCAGGGCTTATTTCTTTTTTTCTTTTCATTTTTTTTTTAGGTTTGGGAACATTTTTAACTTGTTTTTATTTTATTATTATAAATATTATTTATATATTATTTTAATTTTTAACTATTGTAATTTATATTTTGACTGCACCACACAGCATGTGAGATCTTAGTTCCCTGATCAGGGATGGAACCCATGCCTCCTGCATTGGAGGCTCCGAGTCTTAACCACAGGAGCACCCAGCTTATTTCTTTATATATGATGCTAAGGCTGGCTGTTGGGAGCTGGGAGCAGTTATGTCAGTTAGCAGACAGTTAGAAGTGAGTCCCAAAGTCTGACACTTCTTAAAAACATGCGTTTGCTGTATATGCCCCCAAACATCTAGAGTGAAATTCCCTTGGGCGCTTGCTAAGCTTTGTAGTGGGGGTGTACCATTTTACCTGGGGGGGGCAGGGCAGGGCATGGTTGTTATATAAAAAGAGAGAAGCATGGTTATGTTCAGCATGTTTTGCATTTGCTACATCACACAAATCACGTTTGTTAAAACTGGCATTTCACAAACAAGTATGAGAACTATCGTATTTTATTAGTTCATTGTGCATACTTGACTTTACTCTTTCAAGAGTGATAGAAGGAAAAAAAAAGAGTGATAGAAGGGTTTCTTTGTCCAGTTGAAGTAGCTGTGACATTATCTCTTGAGGCCTGAACACTGAATATTGATTTCTTTCATCAGCCTGAACAAGTCAGGCTCATGAGTATTCTGGGGTTTTCTGTTTTTGTTTTCCCCACTTTTACAGCAAAATGTGTAGCTTGCTGGTACTTTTATTTTTTAAATTATTTTTTCAAGTCATCTTTAAAGCAACTTTTAAAATTATTTTTTAAAATTTTGTGGCCATAACTGGCAGCGTGAGTTCCAATCTCTGAACATCCAAGAATAAATATGGATAAATGGGCTTCCCAGGTATCTCAGTGGTAAAGAATCTGCCTGAAAACGCATGAGACACAGGAGACCTCGGTTCGATCCTTGGGTTGGGAAGATCTCCTGGAGGAGGAAATGACAACCCACTCCAGTATTCTTGCCTGGAGAATGCCATGGACAGAGGAGTCTGGTAGGCTACAGTCCATAGGGTCACACAGAGTTGGACACAACTAAACGACTGAACAACAATCAAAATACAAATCTTTTTTCTAACAAGATCTTTACAGTCCACTTTTATACTGTTCATTAGCAATAATTAACAATCTTTAATGTTTGTAATTATCTTTTCCCCTTGAGGAACAACACAAAACTATTTGAGAGAATCCGTATTCAAAATAAGAATCGGCACACTTAAAATGGATTGAATCAAGAACACACTAGAAATTTTGTTAGCTTTGTTTTCACAGTTATTTGTAAAATGGTGAGTTTAGATACTTGAGAAAAACAGATAAAAAGTAAAAATAATGTTTTTTAAGTAAGTTGGGCTTCCCTGATAGCTCAACTGGTAAAGAATCCGCCTGCAATGTGAAAGACCTGGGTTTGATCTCTGGGTTGGGAAAATCCCATGGAGAAAGGAACAGCTACCCACTCCAGTATTGTGGCCTGGAGAAATCTATGGACTGTGTACTCCATGGGGTTGCAAAGAGTTGGACATGACTGAACGACTTTCACTTTTAAGTAAGTTAGTATTTTTATATTAAATTAGAAATAAATTCTACTGTGATGACCTGTTATCTGAAAACAATCAGCTCATCATCAGTATAGAATAAATTTCAGATTATGTATGTACTGGATATGATATGGTTTACAAGCCAAGGGCTTATTTTTACTATCAAGATGTACTTTAGAATGTTGTTGTTTAGTCATTTAAGTCGTGTCTGACTGCTTTGCGACCCCATGGACTGTAGCCTACCAGGCTCCTCTGTCCATAGGATTCTCCAGGCAAGCATGCTGGAGCGGGTTGCCATTTCCTCCTCCAGGGGATCTTCCTGACCCAGGGACTGAACCTGCGTCTCCCTCAGCTCCTGCATTGCAGGCAGATTCTTTGCCACTGCACCACCTGGGAAGCCCAGGCTGGCTTCTACTGTGGATTCCAAATGAAAAGCTCTTCCCTTCCAGCAGTTCCCACATGCCTAAAATTTCCCCAGGTGGGTTGCCTCTCACCCCGACAGATTGCTCCATGTCTTACAGGTGTCCTCAGAAAGACGCCTGCTGTGTTCTGAATGTTCCATAAATGTTCCCTGTCAGGTAACACAGGAAGGGCACAGTGTACCGGACACGTGGGCGGAGGCTCTCAAGGCTGGCAGAGCTCCGCCAGACCAGACACCTGGGCGGCACCGCAGCCCCTCCCAGTCTCCCTGAAGCTTCCGGGACTCTCCCTCCTTCCGTCTCCCTCCAGCCTCACGCCCCCCTTGCTCCCTGCTGCTCAGCCCAGACTACTTCCCCTGCCTCCGGCTGGTCCCCCTCCCTGCTGCCAGAGGGGGCTTCCTGGAAGGAGAAGGCCCCTGGAACACCATCCAGCATGAATGCTTAGGGCTCCCCGTCGTAACCCCACACACAAGGTTACCCGGAGCCTGGTGGGTAAGCATCTAACCCCGCAATGCTCAGCTCTGGGTGTGCACTGAGCACCTGGGGCCGCCCTGAGGTGCAGGGCAGGATCTGGGCATCAGGCGACTCTTAACAGGGAGCCAGGGCAGAGGAGCCCCACTCCAGCCTCCTGCTTCCGTGCTGCAGGTATAACCCTCCAGACCTCAGGATCCAGGAGGGCACAGGTCCCTGGGTGTGGAGCCGGGTACATGTCTCTGCTAGCCAGGCCCACTCCGCTCCCTCCCTGCTCATCCCTCCGAACACGTGAACAGGTGGACATGCGCACAGGCGCGCCTTCCTCTTTGGAAAAGGCCAGGTTTTTCAGATGCCCAAGCCCCAGGCTGTTTCACAGAATGTACCGGCTGTGCTAACGCAGTGCTGGACAGGGGGCCATTTCCTTCACAATCTTCTTGGGCACATTCAATGCCTCTGATTTAAGTTGAACCAGATGTAAACTTCAGATCTTTTTGACATATAAAAACTGCAGTTTCATGTGGCTTGACCTAACATTGTAAAAGATGACAGAAGATACTCAAGAAAATTAAAAAACAAACAAACAACCCAAACTTTGAGCAGATTTAATTTCCCTGAGGTCATACTATAAACAAACAGTGTCCATCAGACTGGTGGTGGTTTTCAAACCTTACTGTGCAAAAAAACAGCTGGGTGTCTTGTGCAAATGACTCCCGCAGGCGTGGGGTGGGCCAGTGTCTGCATGTCCGAGGAGCTCCAGGGACGGGACGTGGCTGGTCCCCGGCCCACACTTCGAGTAGCAACATGTTAGACTATCTAATATAAATATCTGAAAAATCACGCAAACAAAACACTAAAATTTGTAGTAGTAGAGAATAACAAAATTGTGTCTCTGCTTTCCACACTGAGATCAATTTTTAGGGTTCTCAGTATGTCTCTAGTATGTCTCACTATGTCTCTAGTTCTTTATAAAACCTCATTGAGTGTACACACTTTTATAACTTCAAAAATAAAGTGCTATAGTTTACAAAAATAAACACATGGCTAGATTTAAGAGCTTTTCAGAAACCTATTTCTGAGAGTGAAGAAAAGATAATCTTTAGAGAAATTCTTTTGAAATTGTCCTTCATTGCATAAACCCTTGATAATATATTGTTCCTCTGAGTCTAATCTCTGTGACAACTTGGTACACTCACCCAGAGTGAGGCCATTTTATATATTTTGGTTTCCTCAAAAGCACTTGTACGAAAGTTCATACTTATAAGAAGCTAACATTTTTCTTGTAGCTAAACAGGAACGGGGACAAACTTTAAACTTGCAGTTAATTCTTCATCATAAATATTTGAGTTTACCCAACACACAACGTCTACAGCTGCAGAACATCTTTTTCTGCTCTGCAAGTAGCAAATATTAAAGTTATAACAAATTAGTGTATTAAAGCATCATTTATAATTACACACATCAGGTGGAAGACTGGAATACAACCCTAGCAGACTGATTAAAAGGACCAAAAGGAGCGTGAGCTCTGGGGGTCTGTGTGGAGAGAGAGGGCCCCTAACTACCAGTACCAGTAACTGATGTCACCTTGGAGGGTCAGCGAGTGCTTGCAAAGCTTCCCGGGCATCTGTGCTCACCCTACTCAGGGCCCCTGGAGGCACCCAGAATGTTTCCCTGTAGGTCAACACGGCACTTCTGTTCCCAGGTGTGATGTCAACATGAAAGAGAGGAATTGATTTTCAACAAAGACACTATAGCACCTGAGACAGGGCCTGAGGCCAGCCTCTCTCTTATCCTGAAGAAGACGTTCATCTGAGAAGCATTTAAGGGGTTTGGTTTCTCCACCAGGTTCTTTCTCCTCTTCCAGGAGCAGACAGATCATCACGCCTGGGCTCTGCGAGATGTGGCTGCAGGCAGGCTCGGGCCTGTGCAGGGCGGGGCCTCGGGGACATCGAGCACATGGGACCGGGCTCCCCTGGTGTAAGTGTGACTGCTGGGAGCCGCCCCTGCGTGTGCTCACATGATTTTAACAGACAGTGCAAACACGTTAGCTACTAGTAACAACCCAGTCTCTGACTTTTACTTGAACCCAAACCAGCAGGTCTCGGAATGACCCTTGCCCTACCTCCAGGAGAAGCTGGAAGCCGGACTCACTAAACACACAGGTTCCAGGGCCTCGCGTGGGCCCAAGGGCTCAGACGGGCATCTCTGGTTTTGAGCCAGCATCCCGGGTGGAACACCGTGAGGCCCTGAAGAAGGGACAAGCTGGTTTCAGTATAGCAGCTTCTTTGATCTCCGGCATTTTTGTGGCAGAAAAGCCTCCTTGGAGCTTATGGAACTTCACCTGACACCTGCATCCAGCTAACCAAAATTTCATTCACGTTTCCTTACTTTTGTTCAGCAGGGACATCCCTGCAGTCTCTCCCCTCCTGTGAGCCCACCACCATTTCTCCTTGAAAGCCCCAGGCTCACTGTCCAGATGAAGAGCAGACTCTTGGGGAAACGCTGACTACCTTCCCCTCCGGCCAAGCTCGGCTCCCGTCTTCACGTGTGTGTGCCATCTTGATTCTGAGTGTCCCGCAGGCCTGATGGGACACCCGCCACCAGAGCTTCTTTTTGGAGAGAAGTCATTTCTCATCACCACTGATCCTTTCCATAGCACCCATCTCGGGGCCTCTGCCCACATCCATGCAGCTCTGGCTTTGTCTCTTCCCGCTGTCTAAATCCACCTACTTGCTTTTTAATTCATCATCCCTTTGGCCGCTGGACTGAGGTCTGTTTCGTGACATGATGACAACCGCCACGAAGCCTAGGGCCGCCCCCAGGCCGGGAGGGCCGCAGGGGCTCACCTCTTGGGCCACCCCCGAGAGGATGGGGGCGAGGACCCGGCCCACAGCTGTCACCGACTGCCCCATGCCCAGGAGGCTGCCGCCGGCCCGCACCCCACCCACGGTCAGCTGGAGGTCGGTGATGCAGGTCCTGCCGATGGCGGTGGAGAAGGACAGGAGCACGGAGCAGGCGACCGCGACGTCCAGGCTGCGTGCGGAGGCGAAGAGCAGCAGCAGCGCAGACGTGAGCACAGTGGAGTGCCGCAGGAGCCGGTACGACTGGCGGCCGTACAGCCGCAGGAGGGGTCCCAGGGCGAAGCCAGCCAGGACCCCCAGGGCGCTGCTGCAGCTGGTGAGGTAGCCGGCCGCCCGGGGCCCCATGCCGAAGCGCTCCTCCAAGGCCAGGACGAAGTTACTGTAGTAGAGCATGACGGCCACAGCCATCAGCAGGCGCACCACGAACACGACCCACAGGGCGGAGAGCACCAGGCTCCTCAGGCCCCGCAGGGTGGCCAGCACCTCCGCCCAGGGCAGGCTGGCCGGCCCCTTGCTCACTGGGGTCCCCTGGGGGCTGGCTGGGGCCCCCTGGGCACTGGCTGCCCTCTGCATGGCAGAGTCTGTCTTTCCCCAAAGCGCCTGGTTCCTACCCCGTGGCGAGTCATCCTCTGGACTGCTGAGTTTTACTTCACTCCATGGAAACAGCCAAACGAGACCTGTCAACATGGGATAAGGCCTGTTAGAGCCGCAGAGAATCTGGCAGAGAATCCGGAAGGGCCTCCTCGGGGGGAGCCACTACTCTTTTTCCTGTATTAGTCCACTTACTAGGTGGATTTTTGAAACCTGTTTTTAACCATTCCCACAGCTACTTAGACTCCATTTTGATATCAGAATTCTGCTATTCACCTTAAGAAAGGAAACCAACTCTGAATAGTCACTGGAAGGACTGATCCTAAAGCTGAAGTTCCAATACTTTGGCCGCCTCATGCGAAGAACCGACTCACTGGAAAAGACCCTGATGCTGGGAAAGATAGAAGGCAGGAGGAGAAGGGGACACAGGATGAGATGGTTGGACAGCATCACCGACTTGACGGACATGAGTTTGAGCAAGGTCCGGGAGTTGGTGATGGACAGGGAGGCCTGGAGTGCTGCGGCCCATGGGGTCACAAAGAGTTGGACACGACTGAGCGAATGACCCTTTCTTTCACACTCAAACCTGCCCTTCTTGGAAATCTTTCTGAACTCATCCCCGTGGTTTTCAGCCCTTCATCACTGCAGCACCACGTGGGCCAATGCTGCTCAGACCTGCCTGGAGCTGTTCTCACCAACAAGCCTGTGGTTCCTCGAAACACAGTGTAAGTGGACCAGGAGCTAGGGAGAACTGATTCATGCAGGAAACCAGCCACAGAGAATGTGGGCCTGTGAGGGCTTTTCACCTGTACTCATCCTTGACCACGGGCCTTGGACGTTTCACAGAACCTTGATACAAGTGCAAAAGGACTGTTGCTGATGAACCAAGAGAAAGAGTATACTTTAAATGATCACAGCGACTAATGTTGACTGAATGCTCCTATCCTTGTGGACTTTATTTTCTAACTGTGTATGTGGTGGGGGAACAGAACATAAGAAAATAAACTTCTGATTTCAGAAGTGCTACCAAAAAATTGAGTTATTTTAGACAAGGATCAGGGACAGCCAGTCTAAGGAAGCAAACATCTGAAAATTGAATAATCAGCCAAGAAACAGTCAGTATAGATACGTGAAAAGAACACTGTAGGTGGAGGAAAGACTGGATTAGAGTCCTCCTGCAAGAAGCCGACATTTGTCGGGGAGGCAGAGGGTGGCCGGCCCACACCAAGTGGGCCTGAGAGAGACAGACCCAGGGGCACAGCGGTCCCAGCAGGGCTGACGTGACCGGACTGTCCTCTGTGAGTAATGAGTCTGCCTGTCCTAGGAAACGGCTTCCCCGATGGCTTACTAGGTAAAGAATCCACCTGCAATGCAGGAGACACAGGAGATGCGGGTCTGATTCCTGGGTCAGGAAGATCCCCTGGAGAAGGAAATGGCAACCCACTCAATATTCTTGCCTGGGAAATCCCATGGACAGAGGAACCCGGTCCATGGAGTTGCAAAGAGTTGGATACAACTGAGCACAAACACAATACATTCTAAGGAAAACACTGTAATGAGAGAAAGTAGATAAGACTGGTTGGGATAAACACATCAAGCAAACCACCTCCTCATGATTCATGACAACTTACCAGCGTTGAGAACAAAGACAGAAGAGCAGACGAAGGCCGTGAGATAAAACCCACCATCCAGCTCAGCCAGATACCCGCCGACCACTGGGCCCAAGATGAAGCCCATGCTGGACGCCGTGTTGAACTGTCCCAGCACCACTGGCCGTTCCTCCTCTGTGACCAGATCAGCGAGCAGGGCCCTTGAGATGGAGAGTGTGTGCTTAAATATACCTGCGAGGCAACAAGAAACATGTCTGTGCATTTTCCAACCCAAAGTATCTCACTTGGGATCCTGAGCTTCATCTTCATCCGTGATGGAGCTCTGATCTCAGTTTTCCATCACCCTCTAAGGCAGCGGTCTCCACCCTCCCGGATCTAATGCCTAATGGTCTGAGGTGGAGCTGATGTAAAAACAATAGAAATAAAGTGCATTAGAAATGTGATGTGTTTAAATCACCCTCAAATCATCTTGTTCCCTTAATGGAAAAACTATCTTCCATGAAACCTGTCCCTGATGTCAGAAAGGTTGGGAACCTCTGTTGTAAGGCTTACAGGTCCCACCCCACTGTGGCTGGACTCCTGGCCCAGCCCCAGACCCGAGTGGGTCACCTTCATCTGAACCAAGCCCCCGGAGCCCTCAGCTTGTCCACCTTCCACCAGGACATTCCAGGGTCTCCAGTCATGTCTGCGGTCCAAGGGCAGTTCATGGTGGTTTCTATGCAAAGACTGACCATGCTTTATTTGCTCAGTAAATAAACAATTCCCATGTGCCTTCTGCAAGCCCAGCACTCACCGTGACCCTGAGGATAACGGAAGGAACAAAGGGAAAAAAACCAAAATAAAGCAGACACTCATCCCTGTTCTCACAGAGCCTACATATCATTTTACACACACATAGACACGGGAGGGTGATAAGTGCTATAGAGAGAAACAGAGCAGGGTATGAAAGACAGAGAGCAACTGAAAGTATAAAAACACTATGACATGATCATCTAACCAATGCCGACTTCCTACCACAAGCAGCTTGGGAGTTTGTTGACAAGCTGAAAGCTGTGACCTGCCTTAATGAGAGATGACAATGTACGTAACCCCTCTACATTCCTCAACCTCGTGCTGATATAACGGATGTGTGTGTCACCGTCTGCTGAACACCCACACACACTCACACGTGGATGGATGCTAAAGCCACAGGCCGTCCACCGTCCTGACCAACATATGGTGGGCCTGACTGCTGCTGCTCTTGTCTCAATTTGAGGTCAGGAAGCCCAATTTCAAAACTACAAGCTCGCCGAGGGAGAGAACAGCAACTGTGGTGTTGGCCGAAGACATCTAAGGAATTCCTACTGACCGGATGCAGAGAGGTGGACTGGCAGCACTCAGGTCCTATGACTGAGGCATGGGTGTTCATGCTGAGGGGCGAGGAGGGCTCCAGGCTCTGTGAGTGCAAGGTCTGTAATCCTGGAGCCGTCAGAAGAGCCTGGTGGTGGCGAGTGCTTGGTTGACAGCAGCGGCCGGTGTTACAGTCCTAACTGTTATCATCATGATAGGCTCTGCACATAAAGTCTAACCAGGGACTTCCCTGACAGTCCAGTGGTTAAGAATCCGCTTTTGCAGTGCAAGAGAGATGGGTGAGAGATGGGTGCCATCACTGGTCTGGGAAGACCCCACATGCTGCAGGGCAATTAAGCCCTAGAGCCACAACTACTGAAGCCCACGCACTCTAGAGTCCATGCTTGGCCACAGGAGAAGCCACGGCGATCAGAAACCTGCACACCACAGCCAGAGAAGAGCCCCCACTCTGCGACTAGAGAGAGCCCATGCAGAGAAAAAAAGACGCCGTGCAGCTAAAAATAAATAAATAAATATTAAAAAATAAAGTCTGCTCCAAGAGGCGCTGCTAGGCAGGGACAGGCTCTCTGGATGCAGACGCATAAACTGATTGTTTCTGGATGGACACCCAGCCACGGGGCGAGAACTCACCTGCAGGGACTCTAGCCAGGGTGAACAGGAACACGTTGGTAGATGCTCCGAGCATAAGGTAACCTAGGGCACTGCACAGGATGCACACCAGTAAGGAAGACCGTCTTCCGACGACGTCACTCCAGCAGCCCTGAGGAAGCAGGGGGCAGTAGAAAGCCTCTGACTCCCGTTAAAACAACCTGGCCGCCCCGGAAACCCCCCAATATGTGACCCCATGGAAATAACGGGGGAACCGGGTTTAAGATCCACAGATCAATTCTGTTATGCCCCTTGCCACATAAATTATGTTCTCTGGCCTTTCCCATGTGAAGTGGGAAAATACAACAGAGTTTTTCAACAGCCTAAGTCACCAGATGATGCATCTATGATGACCTGGTAGCAAAGAAAGGCTGTAAAGATAGTGAAGGATAATTTCTAAAGCCTCATTTTGTCTTATTCTCAATACTTCATGCAACTTAACTTCTTAGCAACTATATTCACGGTTTAGAAATTTAGAAAACACTGAAAAACAAAATGAATATAAAACCTCGTAATCCTGAATCTACATGTTTTTTTTTTTTAAATGGTCCCTTGAGACCTGATCATTTCCTCCCTTTATACTTTTTAAAAAACATGTATACATATATTTTTGGCTGTGCTGGGTCTTCGTTGCTGCATGGGCTTTTCTCTCGGTGCAGAGAGCGGGGGCTACTCTCCAGTTGTGGTGTACGGGTTTCATACTGTGGTATCATCTCTTGCGGAGGAGCACGGGCTCAAGTGTATGGGCTTCAGTAGTTGCAGGACAAGGCTCACAATCTGTGGCTCACAGGTTCCAGAGCACAGGCTCAACAGCTGCGGTGCACGGGCTTAGTTGCTCTGTGACATGTGGGATGTTCCCAGATCGGGGATCGAATCTGTGTCTCCTGCAGTGGCTGGTGGATTCTTCACCATTGAGCCACCACGGAAGCCCCCTATGTTTTTAACAAAATGACCATACTATACATTCCATTTTGGAACATGCTTTTCCACTTAACAGTATATCTTGAACATCATTTCATGTTGTGAAAAAGTCGCTTTTATCTTTCCTCACTTTTCAACAGTTTAGAAATTCTCCCCTCTTTCAACGTGGGAGAGGTCACTGGCCTCCCGTGTTCATAGGGCATGATGTAATCTGGCAGTTAATGCCCTGGGCCCTGGGCCAGGCTGTCCGGGTTCAGCTCCGAACTCTCATCATTCCACATACGACCCGGGCATCAGTCAAGATAATTACACACACAGGTGTATCTGAGGTCGGTTTCTCTACCATAAAGTCGGAGTAATCATATCTGCCTCAGCCATTCCCCATCCCCATCAACACTTGCTACATGCTTTGAGTTAAAATGAATCATTAGAAATCCACAACTCCCAGACTGGTGGTTGAGACTGGTTATTATGAAGATTAAATGTAATAATGTGCCAAGAGCAGATCCTGATGTATCATAGGTAATAAACGCTGGTCATTTTTATTAAAATACACATATGAAAAAAATATTAACCTCACGTGACTGAGCAAACCTTTTCTTCGAAAATATTTATTTTTAAAATTAAAATGCTTTCATAAAACTTTTAATTAAAATATGTACTTACAAAAGTAGTGGTTAAAGAAGACACTTTAACTAGGTATTCCTTTAACGGAAGGATGTCTAAGGAAGGGTCTCATTAAATTACAGCTGAGATCTATGATATGTGCTTTTCAAGCACTACTGTCATAAAGCAAAGGATCAATTTGAAAAACAGGGTTGGGCCATGGCTGGCAATAAAAACTCATCAAGCGCTGCTGTTCCGGGTTCTCTGCTCAAGGCTGCTGATAAACCAATCAAGCCTGGTCTGTATTCTCAGGGAGGTCAGAGTCCAGTAAGAGAAAGGCACTTGAGTATTTAAAATACACTGCGATTTAACTGGTCTAATATATACATGTGTGTGAATGCTCAGTTGTGTATGATTCTTTGTGATCCCATGGACTGTAGCCCGCCAGGCTCCTCTGTCCATGGGATTCTCTAGGCAAGAACACTGGAGTGGGTTGCCATGTCCTCCTCCAAAAGATCTTCCCTACCCAGGGATCAAAACTGCATCTGCTGCATTGGCAGGCGGATTCTTTACCACTGAACCACCTGGGAAGCCACTATACACACACATCTAAAGTATTTTGGTATGGAGTTCCCAAAGACAACGGAAAAGATATTTACTAAGATGTATCCCAGACTGTTCTCTCATGAGAAAGAATGTGAAATATGATGTGCTGCCCTACAAGTAAATGCATTAGTTTCCTATACAGTTTGATACTTGTTATCTATTTACTTTTTTAGATTAAGGCAGAGGCAGTTGGCATGGAGAGAGAAAGCACTTAGAGTTTAGATACTGGGATTAGGTGACCTTGTCAAATTACTTTAACTGTTTAAGTTTTAATCTCCTCCTCAATAAAAGGCAGACTACTATTTTCCTGGGTCATTTTAATGATTAAATAAGAGTATGACTATTGCTGCTATAGCAATTTAAAGCATGAAACACTGTAACAAAGATAAATTAGGGAGTAGCTGTTTAGTTATCTGAGAATTTGTAATGGAATCTCACCAGATTGCTCCCTGATATTAAAATATATTTCACACATGAGCCACTCTTGGGAAGCACAGTGCTGTATGTACCTGGTGCTCACTTGAGGTGACACCAGTTATTTAGACCAAGGTCACAGCTGATCAGTCCCTGGAACCAAACTGACTTTTCTGTTTGAACTGCATGAACCTCTGGAGGCTGAGGCCCCAGGACCAGTATTACATAGAGGGCACACAGAGTCAGTGAAGGATTCTGAATTTCAAACCACTGCATGGTCAGAAGTGGGAGTGGTGGGGAACTGCCTTGGAGGCCCAGTGGTTAAGACTCCGAGCTTCCAACACAGGGGGCACCAGTTTGATCTCTGCTTGGGAAACTAGGATCCCACATGCCCAAAGAGCATGGCCAATAATAAAAGAAGTGGGTGGGGTTGGCAAGATCAGCTCTGGGTGTTTCTACTTTCTATGGTCAATGTCCAACCCATTACTGCCAGTGGCTCCTCTGTCTATACACTTAAGTTTTATAACTGATAAGCCATGTCATTCAAAAGGCACAACTTCACATAGAATTCAAGGATCTGAATGGGTTTGATGACTGTCAATTACTTGAAACAAACAAAACTGGTCATAATGGCTGTTTGCATCCTCTTCTTCTAATAAAAAGTAATCCTAGGAAGAACACGCTATGATTTAAATAGCAGGCGCTCACTATGACTCAACCAGATCCTTTTAGATCTAGCCATCCAACCCCTTCAGGTCTATGTCTTCTCAGAGGTTGACTAAGGGAGAGAGATGACCAATGCATCTTTCGTGGTCTAAGGACACTTAGGTCCTCGCCATCCACAAACTTCCTTTTGGGTAAACCTCAAGCCCTGATTTTTCTACAGCTGTGATGGATGGCCCTTAGAGGCATGGGGTCTTTTGGGCATGGGGGCTTTTGAGATGTGCTGCCAGACGGAAGAGAACTTACCACTAGCGTGCTGGAAAAGAGTTGCAAAATGCCATAGGAGGAGCCTGCAAAAAACAAGTGACATCTGTAAAATAAGCTAGATTCATCAAGAAGATGGATAAAATTAACAGAAAACATTAGGAGAAAAAGACTGTTTTAAAAAGGAAATGACCATACTTTTTTCAGATGGGAGAGTCAGGTCATACAAGATTTAGTACGGGTCTTCAGAGTAAAATTAAGGGAAAGCAGAAGAGACTGAAGGCCGAGGTCTCTGACAGGGACCCTGAGAGAGTGCTTCTTACCCTGTGTGAGGCATGCACGCAGGACCAGAAATCTGAATCCCACAAAGTCTCGATTAAGTCTTAAAATGTTAATATTACCTCCTATGTCCCTAACATTTCAGTTTTATAAAATGCTTGCTTTGTAAAGAACTTACAAAGTTTTATGGAGCACTTTCAGCTCCATCCTGTTATTGAATACATTCTTTCTGCTCTTCAAAGACCCCTTCCCTCTGCTGGGTGGGCCAGTAACATACACTTTTCCAGGGAAATGCAAGCCATACCATGGCTCAGGAGTTTCCAAATATTATGTACAATCCACCCCACCCCCCCACAACTCATCTGCTCTTTTCGTTTTTGAATCATCAAAGGCTGTGAGTTTTTATCAATTTCTCATTAATTATCAGAATCCTACCCCCACTATTCCCTGGGTAAATCGACAACTTCTGGATGGAGATTCTATGCTGCACAGAGAGAAGCCCTCTGTGCTTCTAGTGGTGGTGAAGGAAGCCTGTAAGCACTCTGTTCCTCGTGGTGTGATTTCTGTAGATCATGTCTCTCTGCTCTCCCATTAGGTTACAGGTCCCTGCAGGCAGGCGTCGATTCCTGACCCTTATTAACATGCATGACCAGAACCCCTGGAGAGACTCAGTAAGTTACCTTAGCTAAAAGACTGATTTGTTTTCAGGTACTCAGTCCAGGAGGCTTAAAATTCCGTGCTCTGAAAAAGTGCAGGACTAACCTACTCACCTACTATCCCAGCAACTGTTGGACTTGCTCCAAGAGACTTGACATGAACGCTCAGTAAAGGCACAACCATGCTCACACCAAACAAATCCTAAACAACAAATTGCTGGTTAATGCAAATTAGAAACAGGAGCCTGGGTATTTTTAAAGTGGGATCCTGATTATAAGCTGATTTTTTAAGGACAATATCTAAATTTTTGAGCAAACAAGAACTCATAATTGCATTCTACAGTAAGATACACTCATCTCGTTAAAGGTATGGAGAAATCCATATACAGTGTGTTACAACCATAGCCATGACTCTCCAATCTAGTGCCTGACTAAGGTTAGGGTGCTGAGCTCTACTGAGCCAGGGGAGAAGCAAGAAGACATTCTCCTCCCCCAACCTCAATGCAAGGTGTTCAACAGTCTGTCAAGTGTAATGCATGCTTCCTAGCACAGTTGTATCTGCCTCTTTGCGACCCCATGGAGCATAACCCGACAAGGTCCTTTGTCCATGGAATTTTTCAGGCAAAAACATTGGAATGGGCTGCCGTTTCCTTCTCCAAGGGATCCTTCCTCACCCAGGGATCAAACTCACTCCCCACCCAGGAATCCAATGGTGTCTGTCTCCTGCATAGGCAGGCGGATTGTTTACCACTAGCGCCACCTGGGAGCTCTGAAAATGTACCTAATTCTGCCCAAGAAGGGTTATCAACAGCGACTTTCCTACATGGCCTAGTAAAAAGAGCCTGTTTGCTCCTACCACACCTGAAGCCACCGCACTGCTGGGCGACGCACCTGTCGCAGCATCTACCACCCGGGGTCACCCTTGTGCGTGGCTCGATCACCGAGTCACACCTGAGCCTGGTGCCGAAGAGTCTTAAATCGTGGGGCTGGGGTGAGGGTGGGGGCGAACTGGCCTCGGCGTGGGTGAGAGGGCAAGCCTCATCTGTGGCCAGGTGCAGTGTGAAGGAGGGGGTGTGGGGCAAGAAGGGACCTGAGAGGTAGGGAGGCATCACCAGGCGGGTCGCAGGTTTCCAGCCCTCGAAGAGCCTGGCGACCACTCAGGATGTGCAAGGAAAAGCACCTTGGTCGGGATCCAGGTCGCGGACACAGCCCGCTGGCCCCGCAGTTACTCACCAGGAAGCCTACCAGGTAGAGGCAGAGCAGGAAGCGGCGGGCTCGAACGGCACCGGGGCCGGGAGCCCCCTCCTGGGTTCCCGTCCCGGGCTCCTGCCGCGGTCTCGGGGTTGCTGATATCAAACCCCGGTCCGGGGCCATGCCGCTGGACTGTTCACCCGGCTCCATGCGCATGCGCGCGGGGGGCTAGCGCGCGGCCCCGCCCTCGGCGCGCCGGCCCCGCCCCCGGCGGAAGCCAGCTGCTGCGCCCGCGCAGAGCCGCGCGCCTCTCACCTTCTTTCACGGGCGGAGCTTCCGACGCAGGCGCAGCGAGGCGGGCTCCAACGGTCCGGCGGGTTCGCGCCCCGCCCAGAGAACGGGCGTCCGTGCGGGAATGCGCCAGCTTTGTGATGGTGGTGATGACGCTCTGCGCACCCTGGGGATAAAGAGCCCGCTTCGCCCTGCCATTGCCTGGCTGGAGGAAATTGCGATGATGAGCTTTTACCTCAGAAGTGACGGGGTGTCCTCTGGGATCGCCGGCTTTGGCGGGAAGAGACTCAGAGTGGGCGTGCCTAGTTGTCGGTGACTGACCTGGAGAAAGAATCTTCGGCCCCTCCCAGCTTCGTTTTTCCCACTTGAAACACAGGAGGACCCAGTGTGGACCAGCCTCCTGGAGGGGTGAGGAGCCTATATGTTAATACAAACGTCGCCCCAGCGCTTTTTCTGGGACCTGCGAGGGCGGCTCACTTGTAGAACAACGCTGCAGTCTGTCTTGGCAACTTGGAGCCTCCTGGTTTCTAGGTTTTTTATCCCAGGAGGGCTGACCTTCCACGAGGAGTGGGGCAGAGGTTCCGCTGTGTTCGGCAGTGAGACCATCAGCTGGATGGTTGGGCCTCCCGAAGCCACCAAACCGTCAGGAAACCCAAGGGGACCTTCTCCCGGCTGAAGTGATGGAGCCGGAGTACCGAGGGCAGGTTGGGTGATCGTTTCCAGTGGAGTGAGGAAGGACTCTGCTTGGAACGTTCCAAAAACAAGGAAACAAAAGAATGTAGAACTGTGGAAGAATCAATTCCTGGACTCCTGAAGAAAGACGTTCATCCTTGCGTGAGGTAAAGACCCCTGATCAGCTGATGTTTAGGCTGAGGGCAAGGGAAAGAAGAAATAGGCCGAAAAAAGCAATAAAACAAACAACAACAACAACAAAAAGCACACACACGAAAACAAAAACCCCCAAACAAAAAAATCTCATTTAAGAAATCAGTGTCTCTTGTTATTCCCGTAATAGGTGTTTTCAGCAATAAGGTGATTAAAGGACACTTAGTTGCAGACTTCTTTTTAAAGACATGAAGAGTTTATATGTTAATTTTCTTGCTGTCCTCAGTTTGAATTAGGTCATTAACGTTACTACTATTTCTGAAATAAATCTCTAGAAAAGTTTCCTTTTTTAGATAAAGAACCTTAGCCTTAAAAAAAAACAAAACAAGAGAAGGAAGAAATAGGTCGTAAAATAAAGACAGAAGCCACAGATACCAGCTCTGATTTTGGGGCCACTTCCAGGGTAAGGACTGTTGAAGTTTTGCGTATTTTCTGTTATGCATGTGGGTGTTGGCACATGTTCACTATTTTCTTCTGTCTTCTTCTTCCAAATACAATTTTACAGGCCCTTGAAGTTTAATTTTAGTAAGTTTTTAAATTAATTAATAATTTTAGTAAGTTTAGCTTAATTTAGTCTTTAGGTAACAGGAAATTCAGTAAGACTGAATTTGAGGAGTAATGTATAGAGCCAGAATGGGTACAATGACTGTTGCGACATTTTCTCTTCGTGGTGTTGTTTTATGAAAATTGAAATGTGAACAGAAGGATGCATTTGGAAGCCAAGTAGCCCAAGAATGGACTGTACCGGTGATCAGTTTATTGGTATCAGCTCCAAATACATGCATCGTTGCTCTGTTGTGTGATCCCGGTGCTGGACTCTGTAGACACATCTTCTTTGCTAGCTGGCACGATGTGAAACTGTAGATGATGCTGAGGGACACTGCATGGGGAAGGAGCTTCTCTAACACACTAAAGTGCTTTTCTCTCTTCTTGTTCCTGCGGTGTGTGGCTGACTTGTTAGACATCTAGTGGTCCCTAGCCCCTAGCAAGGTTCAGTGACACGCAGCACATTCCCTGGGCATCCCAGCTGGTTTCCAGGAGAACCTCCCAGGTGCCCCAGCAAGTAATCTCCTGGCCATTTCCACAGGCACTGCTCTGGTAGCTTCCCAGTGATTTTCTTCAGTTTCCCAGCTGAATGCAGTAGGTAAGCACAAGATATAAAAGACCTCTGTATTTGGTAGAAAGATATAAAACTGTATTCATAAACCACATGGTCATCTATGTAGAAAACATTAAGGGAGTTACAGAAAAATTTTACTAGAACTCATAAAGTAAGGTTAATGAGGTTGCAGAATACAAGATCAATATACAAATTATAATTTTGTTCCCATATGCCACAAAGCTGAATGCAGTGGCAACCCACTCCAATGTTCTTGTCTGGGAATTGCTAGGGACAGAGGTGCCCGGTGGGTGCAGAGTCGGACATGACTTAGCGACTAAACAACAGCAGCAAATGCTACAGAAAGCAATTAGAAATTGGAGTTTGAAAATCATTTTGTAAACATGAAATGTGAAATGGGGATACATTTGACCAACAAATGTGCAAAGAGGCATCCCTTTTTCTTTGGACCTGTTGATACCTGTACTACTTAGGGGTAGGCCAAATGGTAAACCTGTAACTATTCCTATTTATGCCACAGCTTTGAAAGATGTTGCATATCCCCACTGGTTAAAGATAAAGCTTACCTACAGATTATAAAAATGATAGATATTCTAAGCCCAGTGTTCTCATTTGAAATGAAAATCCACTAGATGTGCAGCATCAATATGGACATCACTTTTGTGGGATGTGGAGGCAAGAGAAACAGATACAAACATGCTAATGTTTATGCTGCTCATTGTATTATGAGTAATAAAGTCTTTTGTTTCTGATACAGGCGTCTCATATCTTCTGCTGGCATCTGTGAAACTGTAGTAAGCTAACTTAATTTTTAAATGGGATAAGATTAAATTAAAGACTTAACAAAAACCTGTACACTGAAACCACAAAACATTGCTGAGAGGTATGAAAAAGTACAGAACTAAATGGAGAGATGTATACCATGATCATGAACTGCAAGACTGAATATTATTAAGATAAGCATTCTCATTTATAGTATGCTGCATTGGGATCCAGCTGTTCATCATTTGAATGTCTGCAGATGAAAAGAATATACCAAGAGGTGGTGGGATATGGAACAATAATTTTAGTGGGAATGTGTGATGCCACAACCAATTTGGAAAAGAGATTGAAAATATCTTAAAAAGTTAAACATACACCTACCATATGACCCAGCATATGAGATATTTACCCAAGAGATAAAGGAGCATATAGCCAAACAAGATTTTGTACACAACTATTGCTACAAGCTTTATTTGCAATAGCCCTAGACTGAACACAACCCAGATATCTGTCAAGTGAATTAGTGAACAAGTTGTGGTATTACTACTTAGCAATAAAAATGAACTATGAATTCATGCTGCATCATCGATGAATCTCAAAATAGTTATGCTGGCTGCAGAAGCCAAATGAAGAGGCTATGCTGTGTAATTCCATTCATATAAAGATTTTAGAGAACTCTGGTTTCAGTTTCAATGTGTAAAGAGCTTGGCGGTTGCAGCTCCCACACTGAAAAATAAGGGGAAAAAAGATGACAAAGTGAAAACCAGTAACTTTTTAAGTCCACAGTAGCGTGTTCTCAGTCATGTCTGACTCTTCGCAACCCCATGGACTGTGGCCCTCCAGGCTCCTCTGTCCATGGGCTTCTTCAGGCAGGAATCCTGGAGTGGGTTGCCACGCCCTCCTTCAGGGATCAAATTTGGGTCTCCTGCATTTCAGGCTGATCCTTTACTGGCTGAGCCACCAGGCACCTGGGAAAGGATGATTGGACCACTCCCGCACCCTGTCTGTCTTCTAGTCTCATGTAATGGGAGGCAGGGAGAAAGCTAAGAGATGCTTCCGGAAGTCACCGTCCAAGGACTCAAGCTCACTGAAACACAGAGATTTAATCATAAGCTTATAAAAGTACCCCCACCTTATGAAAATATAAACAGGGCTTTGCTATAGTAACAGTAAACTACAGCTGAGAAAGATGTAAGACAGAGACCCTATTTTAAAACAAGTTTCTAGGGAAGTTCAAAGGCAACAGGGAAAGGGGGGAAAAAAAGGGAAAAAGAGGAAACTGAAGTCTCTGGCACCTACAGTTATGGAAATATTAAACACAACCTAGCTCCAGCGCATACTCTCATAAAGCGTTATGCTAAAAGCCCCAGTACCTGAGTTTTTAGTACCTAATACATACATTCAACTTTCAGGAAAACAATTATGATTTTATTAGAAGAAAAATAGTTTTAAGAGACAAAGCAGGCATCAGAACCAGAGTCAGATATGACAAAAATCTTGTAATTATCAAACAAGGAATTCAAAATACCTGTGATTACTGTTAAGAGCTCTCATGGAAAGTAGACAAGATATAAGGACAGATGGGTAATATAAGCAGATACAAAATATCTGAGAATGAATCAGAAGGAAATGATAGAAATCAAGACCATTGTGATAGAAGTTAAGATTGCTTTTGATGGGCTCATCAGTGGATTGGACTCAGCCAAGGAAAAAATCATTGAGATTGAAATTAAGTCAATAGAAGATTCCCATACTGGAAAGCAAAGAAAAAAAAAAAGTGAAAAAAATTAATCAGAATGCTGAACTGTCAGTCAATTTCAAAACATATATACTAAATTGGGATACTAAGGCAAGAAGGCAGATGGACACCCCCCCCTCCATGGTAAAACAACTGGAGATTCATTCTCTATTGACCAAAACTCCAAGACAAGAATAGCAGGCAATTAAGGAAGGAGGCTGAACCCTGCACAGATTGCATATTTCTCATTCCCAAAGTCAGGAGACCTTCCCGACCATACACGCACAGAAAAGGCTTCTTGGAGGCCAAAGGGGAGTCATGTCAAGGGATGTTCTACCTATAGCCCTTTTCAGTAGGATTCATCTTGGCTGAGAGATGTGTGTGCACATATGGAAAGATCCTAAGATATACCAA